TTGTTGGAAATCAACGATATATGTTATCAGGAAACTTTTGTTTCTATGTGAATTATTGATTATAATTATTCGAATAGACATTTATGCTGTACGAAACAAATAGAGCAAGTTGTAAGATAAAAAAACTAATCACACTTTATGTTGATTGCTACAATGCATTCACATTCATTTGAACACTTAACAGTCAAAACAGATTGTTAGTAAACGATCAGATTTATATTATTTGTGAAAACTATATTTGGAATAATCTAAGTGATTGAAATTTAAAACATTTCAACTTTTCATCGAGTAAGCTTGCAGACTTCTTCAGGGTACTAATCAGAATTCTTTGATTCTCACACCGAAGAAGTTCGAACAACTTTGCTGGGTGAAACATTCGAATTCTTTAAATATCAATCACTGTGATTATATTAAGTATAATGTTCAAAAATAATGTCTTCTATATATCCGGCGCAATGTGTTCTCTGGTCTTCCTCATCTCCTTTGGCCTTGAGGATTCCACGTGCCGGCTTGTCTTGTGACGCAGTTTGGTGCTTTCCTCAATGTGTGTCCTATCCACTTCCAGCGCTTCTTCCTGATTTCTTCCTCCACTGGGATCTGATTTGTTCTCTCCCACAGTAGGTTGTTGCTAATAGTGTCCGGCCAACGGACCCGAAGTATTATGCGTAGACAACTGTTAATAAACACCTGTATCTTTTGGACGATGGATTTCGTAGTTTTCCAGGTTTCGGCCCCATACAGTAGAACTATCTCGACATTTGTATTGAAAATTCTGACTTTGGTGTTGGTTGCCAATTGTTTTGAGTTCCAGATATTCTTCAGTTGTAAATATGCTGCTCTTGATTTTCGAATTCGTTCCTTCGCATCTGCATCAGATCCCCCATGCTCATCAATGATGCTGCCCAGATATGTATAGTTTTTTACATCTTCCAAATCTATCCCGTTAAGTGTGATTCGATTGTTATATTTGAAATAGCAATGTTTATTACATTTTCTATATAAAAATAAGTAATAATAATATTGGTTAGAAGAAATTTATTAAATTTTCAAATACGTCATATATCTTAACAATAATAACAAGAATAATATTGAAAAAAAATTTTAGCATCACTATTCTCAACGATAGATTAACTTTTATGATAACAAACTTAGATTATGCAATGCATACATCCTTATATTATGATATTTCTATTACTAACTATATAAGTAAAAGTATATAGATACATATACATACATTGATAAAGATTGATTTATACCCAAGAGATAATCGAGGACTATAATTTGATACAAAGTACGTCAATTGAATGTAACAAAACTTAATTAGAGGAAAACAACTGATAACTAGAGAAAAGAGCAAATCTTGAATGTTTACCTATATATATATATATATATATATATATATATATATATATATATATATATATAGGGAGAGGGAGAGAGATTAGAGTTTGGCACATACAAAATGGTTAAACTTATCCATATACATATACAAATACATACATACATAAAATACTATTCCATCCCCTTCATTACTCTACCATGATTAGATTGCTTATTATTTTTATTGTTATTATTATCTGTATTAATATGATATAATTTTAAGGTGAAAAAAATAAACTGAATCATTTTAGAAGTAATTCACCAATAAAGTAACTCATTATCATAGTTTACTTTTTCATCATTCACATTCGATAAGTCTTTTTTTGTTATTATTATAAGAAAAGTTTCCTATTTATGTTAGAAGTTTTTTCAACAAAATTCGATTATTTGATTGAATAAAAAGTAAAAAAAGAGGTAAATTTGGAAAGAATGAATAAAATAAAGAAGAAAACGAAAATTATTCTATAAAGATATATACTTATAATCAACTATTCATCTACATAAATGATAATGTGTGTCTGTGAAAAAAGAAATCTAACGAAAATTTAATTAGTTTACTGAATTGATCCTAAATAGGTATTTAATTGCACATTTTTGAATCTTAATTTTCACCTTGAATATATATATATATATATATATATATATATATATATATATATACTTACATCTACAAGATGAATTAGTTGAGTTCTCTAGTCTTTCTACTTATTCCTCTCTCTTTAAAGTAACTCTCAAGTGTTGAAAAACTCTCACAATGAATTGGGTATGTTAAAACAAAACAAAATAAAATATTAGTTAGGGAATGAAGAAACTATTTAATTAACTGTCATAAAATGACCTTCAAAAATAATAATCTATAAAATATCTCATCAATTGAAGAATATTTTTTTAGACAGAAAATAGAATGAAATGATTGAACTGGAAAAATATTAGCAGCTTCAATATAATTTATGTCATATCTTCAAATGAAGAAATAATCAGGTTATCTGATTTTCGATTGTTCTACAGTTGATTGATTTTGTTCAAGAAAACTCTTTCCACATTAACTTTCCATAAAAAACTATTAGTTCAACTTATTTTTTTCTGTTAAACGAATCTGAATTATAACGAAATAACTTTTCTATTTGAGTACTATTACTTTTAAAAATCAATTAAAAATGAGGAATCTATAGAAGAAACTATATTGCAAAAAATACATAATTTGTTCATAAAAATATTTGTCATGTAAACATTTTTCAGTTAAGTCAAAATATAGTTGAGGGGCCCTCACACTAATGTGACATATTAGGTAAAGAAATCAAACTTTTGATCTGAGCTATAAATTAAATGGATGAAGTCAGTAAGATGATTGTGGCCAGTGGTTTCATTCCTTAGTTACACATAGATTCTTTTTAATCCTAAACAATAAGATTATTTTATACTTATTATCCCTTGATTTCATTGCCTTTTCTCCAACTATCTTATTTGAATTTTTAGTTTTCTGACCATCATAGACAGTATTCTGATATATTTTTGCATATACACAGAATCGATCTCAATAATAGACCTTTTACTACTTATCATCATATTTAGAATTTACCATCTCCTTTTTTAAGTGTCTTGATATTACACAACTTAAACAGTGGATTAAACCAATAATATTATTTGTAAAAATTATATTTAAAATAATCTCAGTGATTGAAACTTAAATAATTCGAATGTTTTATTGGGCAAACTTGTCTGGAGTTCTTCAGGGTAATAATCAAAATTACCAGAGAACATATAATGTTTAACAATCGAATCAATTCTATACTAAATGAGTATTTAATTACGTTCAGATGTTGACTTTAGTAAGTTGAATAATATGAGTCAAATAGATGTGAAAAGTCCACAACATGAAAATAAATGAATGAGTAGTTGTATGCGTATGTTTGTGTAAGTTCGAGTTAGTAATAGTTGGTACTAAGTGTTAATTAGTTTATTAGAAGTAAAAATAAGAGTGACAAGTAGATATGTTCTTAACATATCAATATGTATGCAAAGTGAGAAACGCTAGTTTATGTTCAGTGGACTCTATCTTCTTGCTTAGCTTAATGCTATCTGACATATTGCTAACATTTTCATATATCTCGTCCAAACCACTTCGTATAATGATGTACGAAAGGTCAGGATTATTTAACTTTTTGTTGCTGAGATTATTTCAAATAGGACTCATAAATAATTCCCTTTCTATACTCTGCCCCCAGTTTCTATCGAACTATTAATTCAAATATTGATGAATATTCTTATAAATTAACCAGTAATATTTATGTAGTTTAGGATTGTATAATGTATAATGGCATACTTTTTGTTGCATTTAGATAGCCTACACAGATAGGTATTAGAGTATACTTATGTCAATGATGACTTCAGTATCTATTTAGCAAATGCCAAATTATGATGAAGTTAGTATAAATAAAAGACTTGAAGATAGATCTTTTCATACAAGGAACATGGATCAACTTTTAGCGGGTCATATGGCCATGCTTAGAAATCTGACTGTCATTTTTATTATTCTGCTATAACATCATGGAATATTATTAATCACCCTAAATCATTCTACACCTCTTATTACATTTTGCCTAGACTCAAATTAAATAAACCCTATTCATGTTCACCTGTATATCTCGATAAAGGTTTTAGTGCAATACCTATATTTAATGAGAAATCTAATTGCCAGTTAAAACTGCTCAAATAACATTGTGTAAATCTCATTAAAACTACCTGTTCTTAGTAATTTACAGATACTTCTAAATCATTAGCCACCAATAAAATAGGACGTAATAACTAAACGGTAGATAAATTTCATTATGAAGCACAATTAGAATAGCTTTAGATTTTCTAATAGATGTTTATGATTTTCCCAACTATTAGAAGTGCATTAAATCTACAAAGAGTATTTATACCATCAATCCAATCGAGGGCATTTAATTCATATGCAGTTTAACCAAAATAATCATGATGTCCTACCATTAACTTTTATCAAAAAACAGGAAAATCATTTAAACCTTCTTTCCATATCATTTTTAATGATAGAAAAAACAAAAACAAACAGTTTAAGTAGCTCAGTCATGATTATTGATCAAACTCCAATGATCGATTCAACATTCATCTAAATTCGTGACAATAGTAACCGTCTTAAAGTAACCGATAAAGTACTCCAAAGAGGACATTTACAATCTCTTATTAGAACATATGATGACACTGCTTCACGGTCCTGAGAGTCAAACAGTTTCCTGAAGATTACAAAAATATCTTGTAGTTGAGTATAGATCAATAACAAACCTGACAACAAATAACTAATGAATGCTATAACAATCAGTAGTGTAAAATAAAGTCTGGGTACATAAAGTGGAATGTACTCTCTATCATTATATCCTTCATACACTAAGAACCCGATTAATTAAAGGTTCTTCAATAATACAAATATACAATACTTTATGTTTACAAAAAAAGTCTAAAGAAATTTTAGAAAAAATCGAGTTATTGGATGATTCATACGAAAAATCCTTGTCAATAAAGCAATCATAAATACTAAAAAAACCAGGTACAATTGTTTGTTGGATTATTAATAATCAAAATGGAACAAATATTTAATTTGATCACATGCGAGTAACACCTGTTGGACTGTCCAAGGAATTCGTTAATTCATCATCCAGTAACTTCACACCTTCCTTCAGTAATTCATGATTACAAAGAATCGACTCCAAAGGAGTTGTAAGACAAACTTCATAAGTTTCTTGAGGATGTGGCAGGGTATTCCGATGCGGAGTTACCACAGGGAGTTCTGAAAGCTGAGCTGGCAGTGGGTCCGTAGTAAAATATGGATCTTTCAATGCCTGAAACATGAAAAAATAAAATTCTTCAGCACAAACAAACAGGATTTTGCTTTTATAAGCGGATTTTATTGACCAATTCACAGAACGTTGATATCACCAGAAATAATATAGAAATTGAAACCCCGTTTTATACAAAACAGAAAGGTATTATTTCAGAATTCGCTAAAAACTACAGGTACAACTTAATCCTGGGTTTCTAAATCTCACGCAGATAACAGAATGAAACACATGAGTAAGGGAAAAAACACATAAACTAATATTTTGTAAAGATCACTACTAAAAGTGACTCAAACAATTGTTTCCTTATTCAACGTTCTAACTTTCTCACTCCATCTCCCAAACAAATGTATTTATATTTATAACTTCAATCCATTTATGATATTACGCGACCATCTTTTATTGCGTGAGGTAAATAATCACCTCGCACCCGATATGCTTGAAGTTTACACGTCACAGCTTCTTCTTAGAACTCCAGGAATCGCATCTATAAGCCAGTCACCAGTGAGCACATGATCATTATCGGTATAAGATTTTGTGAAGATTTGAGAATTTTAATATATTTTATATCCCGAACTGATCCTAGTTTGACCACCAATAAAAAGTTGGAAGTACTGTGTAGCTGTCCCGTCCTAGTATGATGCTCTTTGGCAGTGCGCATCCATAACTCCGCAACCGGGAAAAGAGCCCAGAGCATTCACTCTCATGAGCTAGCGCTCAACCTCTAGACCAGTGAGCTAGCATCCAACAGTGCTAATGCCTAAATTCAACCCATTCGAGTTTCAAATAGACGTTTGCGGGTTTGAACCGTCCCCCACATGTTTTGCTTTAAACAGCTGAGTTATGTCCTATACCTGCCGTCAAAATGTGTGATTTAGAGATACATGTACGGTTATTTACCTTATATATGCCAAAAAAAGTGAAGTATGTTGGTTCACAAAAAGTAGTTATACACATTATGCAGAATCAAATGTCACGCGTAAAGTTTTGAGAGATTTAAAAGTATTTGATCCTACTAGTATGAAATACGACTGATTTAGTAAGCTACATAGGGATAAGACGTAAAATGAAGGATGTACTGGCGTATCAACTGACATGTCAAAAGGGAAACAAACAATGGCATATCATAAAATATAGGTGTTTTGATGCACTAAACTGTGAGTTAAGCTTATTTTTCAAGATTACTGACACATCGTAATTATGTTAATTCTAGTCTGTGAAGCACCTTCAAATGTGTAACTCAATAGTTCTAAGCAAAACCCTCAAAATATTCAGAGACAGCATAACAGTATGTTTAAACCAGACTTACTTGATTTATCGAATCGAGTAAACCAGAGTTAAAATAATACTTACTTCGGATACCGTAATTCTTTGATGGGGTGGGTACACCAAAAATTTACTAACAAGAGCAACGGCTTCAACTGATGCGTCTGGAAGGACTTCCTCAAACGGGATAGTTTCGCACAGGTTAAAACTTATCTTGTTATAATCAGGTAGTTCTTTAACCTCCTAAAAAAATAAAAGAATACAAATCACCATCAAAACAAAAAAAGCTTGATGTATTGGAAAACTAACAGTAAATTAGCCAAGTAGAAGTCTTCCGAAGACAATTAGACTGCATCTTCTTTGCATTGCCGAAGCATAGCCATACATCTGGAAAAACCAGAATTGTGTGTGCGAAAGAGACTTTACAACCTCTTTATCTACCATGGTTTAAATGTATTAAAATTGTCCTCTCTTTTTCATACTCTTGTTCCTTTATAGCCATCTGCTTCACCTTCCATCTTCCCCTTAAATCTTCTACCCCCAACTGATTTGTTTTTATTTCCACGATCATTCTGATTACACTTCATTTCTGTTTCAGCATTTTATTTTATCATGCTGAGCCATCAATTTGTGTGAGCATACATATCCAAACGTGACTATCCTATGAATACAATCAAGTATGTTCTAAGACGTCTTTTATCAGAAACTGAAACCACGAAGATTACAGTGCACTAGCTTACTGTTTCACTACAGTTTAGAAAGTCACAGCAACTTATACGTCTTAAAGATTCTAAGAGAAAATTTATATCCTCAAAGTTTCAATGAAAGCTTCATCTTTATATTACACAGTCATTTTGTCAATTTAAACAAAATGTCTTTGAATGTAATCTTTTCTAAATCATAAGAGTATTTTAGTTAGTGGCTTTTTAAGAACGGATAAATGGGTCAATTTTATGATAATCATACTTCATGATATAATCAATAGTCAGTGCTGAATAGATAACAGTTCAAAGATTTTATCACAGTGATTTCGCAAAACTTACGGGCCATATATCTTCGTTCGGAGTCCCAAGAACACGTACAACAAACCAAAGTTGTTCAATATCATTTTCTCCCTAAACAAGTCTTAGTACTAGTAAATTATTAAATACCGGGAACAATGGAGAACTGTTGAGTAATTCTCCAAATATACAACCGATAGCCCTAAAACCAAATAAATTATAATTGACATACCACAAATCAACACTATTTGTGTATTTTTTAGCTCCGTATAACAATTCAGGTGCTCGATACCACCTGAATTAATAGACGTTTATTAGCCAAAATTACCTTGTAGCCACTTGATGACTATATAATCGCTCATTGTTATTCTCAAAAACTCTTGCAAGACCAAAGTCAGCTATTTTCAGGACTCCTTCAGAACTGATCAATAAATTGGCAGGCTTGAGGTCCTAAATAAAGAAGTGAAGATTGGGAAATTTCATAAAAACAGACACAAACCCTGTGCATAATTCCATTAGCATGCATGACTTCAACTCCTCTTAGGATCATAAGCATATAACATTTAGACTGTTCTTCAGTAAGAGGAGGTTCCGAATTCCGAATAACTTCACTAAGATCCGTAACCATGTACTCAAAGACAAGAACAAAACCAGTACCATGAGGAAAAACTTCTCGTAGATGGACAACGTACGGGCTGGACTCAATAAACTGAAGAGCCTTTATTTCTCTACAATAATAAATATACTTTAGTTGAATTACCGAAGTGCTGTATTAGGAATTCCATCAGCAAGTTTTCTCAAAGGAACCTTTTTCAGAGCAACAAGTTCTCCACTCTAGGTAAAACTGTCATATGCAAAATAAAATCACCTCAATATGCCTAGCCTTTAAAACAACTCCATGAGCACCTTCACCAATACGACCGAGAATACTGTACTGCTCCATATGACTCTAATGTTTGTAATACTTAATCTCCTGAACATGCCATCTAGTTGAGCAAAGCTGACAAGTCATTTGATTTTCGCATCTCAAATGTAAGAAAGATTTTGAAGAAACCTCGGAATATTTGTCATAATGAAGATATTAAGTAAACATTAGCAAGCTATATTTCCAAATGTGAGATTTTGTGGACAGTATATTGTAACATATCTTAATTTTATCTCATATCTCAAGTTTTCTTCAAGTTGAGAGCCTGTGCTATCCTTTCTGAGATGAAGCACTAAAGTATTAAGAATCTACCATTTCTTTTAAGAAGTGACACAAGAATACAAACTTAGATCATAATTAATTAAAACTAATCAGTTGTTTTGGAATAGGTATGATGGTTAGTGTCGTTATGATTTTAAAAGATTTAAAATGTTAAAACAGAGTATACACATAGACGTATATATAATAAATAGGTTTCAAGTGGTCCAAAACCTATAGTAGTCTAACAAAAGCACCTAAGTCGTTATTATGAAGATGAACATCGTAGCACTAGTTAGGTGCTCAAATATACGCCGAGAGATTGATTTTAATAAATCATTCTTTCTAACTACCAAAAAAAAATAAGTGAGTTTATATAATCATTTGCCAGTGCTATCAGATACGGAAGCCTGTCAAGCGAACGTTCCTATTCCATCTAGAACCATTTGAACAGCAGAAAACACCAAAAGAGGTTCAAACAAATTAGTATCACATGTAAGAACATATATACGTAGTATGATGAATGGGAAGGTACAGAGATTTCTTACTTTGACATCAAGCAATCGTCACTATTATATTAGTTCAACGTTGGCATTTATATCCCTGGCATATCCAAGAAGTAAATCCTAACCCTATTTTTTTACAAATCGACTTGAAACTAACTGATTGACAGAAGTACCTATTACTTGCAGTATTCCATGTGGAATTAGTAAGTCTAAAGGATATAAATTTCTGATCTACACTTAAATCACATGTTTGATAACTAGTTAAAAACAGACAGTTCCTACATATATAACTTTACTAATAACAAAGACTGATGATTGTCCCATTTAGTTTAAACCTACTTCAAAAACATTCAGTTTCATTGGTCAAGAAAAGAAACTGCAGTGAATTTGTAAAAGAAACTTAGAAATTACCCAATCTCAATACCTTGTGAAAGACTTAGAGAACTTTGAGTAAATTATAAGATTTTACCCGTTACCGTGAGAAATATGGTAGTTTTCCCTAAACTTTGAGGAAATCTTGGGGAAAAATCCCAATGTGTAGTAAGATTCTACGGAAATATTTCCCTACAATATATATTAAGGAGAATATGAAACTTCTTCATTCATTTCGTGAATTTTCCCCAGATCTGGATAAGTTTTGCGGTTTTTTGCCATTTCCCGAAAGTCTTCCATGGTGATTCGCGCAAAAATTAGCCAAACCGTAAAACGTTTTCCCGAAAGATAGCGAGATTTATCTTCCGATTGGATACGCGAACGTGACATCACTACTTAAAAATTTCTGAACTCGTTTGTAGAAGACTACTGTGAACACTTAAATTACCAGTAAAAAAATAGCTAAAAGTCATTTTCTGTGTTAAAATGAAAAGACTAAATCAGTATTTGCGGTAAAATATACTGAGTAATGGACGAAGTGAGTGAATCCTCATATTGAAACACAGGACAGGACAACGGAAGCAACCACACTGATCTTTTTTTATAGTTTCAGGTTTTTGACAGATATGCCAATGTAAAACAAACAAATAACGGAAGAGTTACAAGTTAAAAACCATAGCAACACGCGCTAGGCTTTAAATGAACATAAGCCATAGTGTCATTGAATAAGAAAAAGAGAATAAAGCGAAGAAAATTTTCTTTTAGACGAAACCATTTAAATAAGCTGTACATTTATATAACTTTATATACGAATGTACAGCTTAAGTAAATGATTTCTTCGAAAAGATTATTTTCTTAGCTGAATTCTCTTTTTCTTGTATATGAACATTGAATTATCAAGTGGTTCAAATGGCTTTTGACGGAATAGAAAAGATTTTTCACAACGAGCTTCCGTATCTAGTAGCAGTGGATCACCAATATCTTCCGGCAGGAAGAAGATATCACATTAACATTCCGTCCTTAGTTCTTAAGAACATGTCATGCTCTCTCCTAAATAACTTCTGAAAAGTCTTTTGGACTAGCTCAACTGGCAGCGAATTTTAGCATCTGACTGCCCTTAAGAAGTAGAAATTGTGTCCACAGTCCGTTCTGCTGTGTTCTGCCTCCAGTTCCTGGGTTTTACCAGCATTTTAAAATCATAAGAGATAGGTCACAGGCTTCCACATTATGAGTATGAGATGTCGGATCTTTTACATCTTTTACATACAATTATGACATTGTCACAACTTCAGTTAAGAAAATCACCCTCTGAAATTTTTGAAATTGCCACAGAATTTTATGGTTTTGCAACGTTTAATTCCGTAACGTCTGTAAAATTAAAGATACCGACGCAGTCGAAACCGAAGTCAGAAATGAATGAGTTCAAAGAAATGGTTTGAAGTTTGTTGGTATGTTGAGATGTGTTTGATCTGAGCTGGCCAGTATTTGCAAAGGAAACGTAGGACGACGTATCCATTCGTAATCTCTAGCACCTATACTGGACGTCTCCAGTAAAATTAATGAGGTCAGTATCTATTTGGTAGACTCATAGAACTCGTTATTTTGAGGAATTATTAGCCATTACAGCTAACTTTCTCCCAATACATTGGGGTAGTGATGGCCCTAATGCATAGCCAGTAAGAATTTTAAACCGGTTGGTAAACACTGTCGCTGTTCCATCAACATTTGGTGGTCTTTCGTTAATATAAAGAGCCATGCAGTGCCAGACAACAATGAGAACTCCGAACCATCAATTTCTCCATCGTCTTTCGCCTATACAGCCGCCCTGGCAAATGAAAAGAATGGAAGTGCAACTGATTATTGAGACTCACTCGTGATATTGTAAGGATATAAGACACGTACAGAAAAAACATGGTATACATGCAAACACATAGGATGTGACAGAGTGAAAGAATTTTCAGAAGGGGTTTTGTGGAGATTGTAGTAATTTCAATGAATAAGATCATGAGTCAGTTGAGAAGTAGTGACCAGTGGAGTACAACCACGTCTGCTGTGGTTGACTGATCTGAACTGGCTAGCGGTTGCATAAGAAATTGATCACAGCGTTCTAACTCATGATCTGGTGCAGATGCTTGACCGAGCGCCTTCAGCTAGGTGATTACATTAAAACTAATGTGGTCAGCATCAAATGCCGAAAACTTACGGAGTTATTGATTTTGAGGAGTTATCTACTGTTACATAGTGAACGTGTCCACAGAAAAAGTTACAGAACTCTAATGTGGCGTCGAGTCGCGTTTGGCTACGTGCCAGTTAACCGACAAGGTCACCCGTAGACCAAATATCAGAAGGCAGCTGATGGCTGTAGTCGAGATGTATTCGTTGGCGATCTCGTGATATCGAGGGAATACCGAGATCGATCCAGGTTACAAGTCGGATTACTGATGCGGCATGTTGTACTAAAGTTTATTGAGAAAGAGGAGCTATCTGAAAAAATAACAAAACAGTCAGAACTGGTAATTGCCTCTGATGTAAGAACGTGGCGTACTGGCACAACGAAGGTATGTTAGAAATATAAAAGAAGCGGTCATATTACGAAAAGGAAAAACTTATTACAAAATAGTTTTACCTATCGTTCTGAAACTTCAGATTCCACAGAGCTTGTTCATCTTCTTCCAGTGCGTTTACACTTTGTTGCCCGCACTAAGAAAAACAGACTTGAAGTGGCATTGAGCCATAACACGAGACAAAATGTAAAATAGACATTCAACATTTAACGCTAGGAAATACCCAACAATGGAGAAGGCGGTAATAAGGAATTGAATTAATCGGAGTTGGTCGTATGGCATGGCTCGGGCATGCAGGCGTGGCCCCTGCCAAATGTTATGTTATGTCTTTTATTCATTATAAATAAATTGTTCCATCTCTAGTCTAAGATTGTTCTATATCATGTTACGACGCAGTGAGTTGGTGTAGATGATGATGTGATTTCCACAAAAGATCTTGTAGATTAGGCAGTTACATCATAACAAATCTACAATTTTAGGATTAGGTCTATTATTAGAGCAGCGCTAATATCATAGTATACCGTATATCTACAGACTCATGTTAATAATATCACGTGTAAAGATTCTTGCTACTGTTACGCTGAGCGCAACCGAATTCGTGCAAGGTCAGAATCAGCAGAAGAATGTATGTATTTTTTACAGTTAAACAAACAAGTACGGTAAAACAATCAGTGGTACAATTTGTTATGATGGTAATTGTTTCCATCCCACCAATCCCGTTCTATTGATAAAAGTAGGTCATTACAGAACTATTATTTTTATATACAAATAGTTTCAATCTAAATAAATCTGAATGCCAGATAAATTCTTCTTACTAGGTGTTAAGCTAATCAATTAACAATTATTTAAAACAGAACTTCCCCAATTATTTCAAGTACTTAAAAATCACTTTCAACCATAACTGATCGATATTAATGACTTCAGTATACGTTTTCAGCTTTCGGTTATCTTACTGTCTAAACTGAGAGCCGAAATTTTAGTCTTAGTGTATACTGAGCATATTTGTTATAACTAATCTGTTAGATTTGTCATTGCTATATCGTAACTGCACATTTTCAAATATGAAGTTGTCACACAGAAATGTTAAACTTTTCAAGAATTCTTCTAGACAGTGTCTGTTTTCAACTCAGACCAGGTATTAATAGTAAAATTTGTGACTGGCATAATAATTCAGTATTTCAAGGCTGGAGGGAGTAAGGAGGATAATGAAGGAATATAATGGTGACACTTTTATCATTATTCTTGGTTTGTCTATTCCAGTACTTTTGATTTTACGTCAAGGGGTTGATTCTCTGTTCAATAGAGGTTCTGTGAATGCTGCATCGTATTTATTGTTTAATGCATACGAAATGAATTGCGGTGAACTAACCGAATGTAAACATGAACTAGACATTTTAGAAGGTATGTTGTTAATAATGTTAAAACTTCGTATAGATATGTTTCTTTGTATCCGCTTGAATGAAGTTATACTTTACTGCAATTTTGCAAGCTTTATCTTGATCTTACCTTATGTTAGTCACTGGCCTAACCTACGCATACATTACGTAAATGAAAATTACGTAAGATGAAATTAATTATCAGTTCGTCAAACTACGTGACATTTTAGATGACTGACTCTGAGAAACATGAAGATTTGAAAATTAGTGTGTTCGAAAGCACTTTGTCCAATTTCAAAAGGATTATTGTACCTTATACAGATCCTCAAAGTAGATTGTTTTACTTTATATATTGCAGAATATATCTAGGTAACAGAAATAAAATTTTCAACAAGTTGATGATAGAAGACTGGCCACTTGTTCAAAGCTATGCCTACGACATTAAGCGTCAGTGAGTTTTTTGAGATATACGTTATTTGTATCTCTACGATGGTTTTTTGATTTACATTTTCTTTGATTAATACAGCCGTGGGAATTCTGTTTACAACTTACAACTTTTAGTTTTCTAAATTTCATTTAAGAATGCATCTTGCTTGCTACCCTTTTTTATTGTAAAAGGATGAAAACACGTAATTTTACTAATTTCCTAACGTATATATAGTAAGTTCTTGTTATTGGGACAAAATTTGTGTTAAACCTTGAATATCCTTTTAACTTACTGATGTTTAACTCTTTGTGTGTATAGTTTAAATCTCATAAGTTGGGTCCATTGAAAGGAACATGCTGATAAAATAAATCAACCAGCTGATTTCTTGAATTACATGTTACTGAAACCAAATGAAAATGCTGGGGGAAATTTTATCTCATCTATAAAATGTCAATTAGTTATCATCCATTCTGAGCAAGGCTATAAGTCAGAGAAAATGGAGTACATCTAAACAAAGGAATAAAAACAAATTATTCCTTTCAATATAGATTACTTTAATTGGCACTGAAAGCAGTAACTTCAAGACTGAGATAGATAAACTTTTGGAGACCAAGAGTTCTTTATCATTACCATTATATGGAGCCTTTAAGATTTACTGGCATTAAAACGTGCATGTTTGCACGGCCTCTAGTTATTTTGATAAAACTTATTGTTTTCAAAAGAGTTATAATGTATACCGATGAATAACACGATAGTTTCAAAACATTTTATATTTGATGACACAGCTTGGATTCTTTCCAGTTCCTGTTACTATATTAATACTTAAAAGTGGTGTTAAATGAATGTGGATTTATAGCGTTTTCACTAACAAAATTATCAAGGTTATTTTTCAAGTTCTGTTATTGTATGGACACATTATAATTCCGAATTCTTTCCTAGTTTATATGCATCATTTATTATTAATTCACTGACATTTTACATCACTACAGATTGTCAAGAGAATTTTTCACTCTATCTCGCGAGGTAATACAGATTTCAGAAAAATTTATCTGGTTCGTTTTGTACAGGTGATTGATGTAGGTGACAGTCTTCGTCAGTTAACAGAAAGAATTGATCCGGTGTTTATTGAGTGCTTTGTAAGCAGAGTAAGTTAAAATGAAGATGATGTGAAATATTTAGATAGATTTTTGAACTGCTTTTTAAATTTGGTGGAGAATAAAGAGTTTAAGTGTCATTCGTTATATGTATATTATATCCGAATGAAAATAAACGAATGGTAACCACTAGTAATTATTTATGTATTGATATTATGCGAATACTTTTATTGCATGACTATACAACAACTATATTACATATATATTCGTATTTCTTTTATTATAAGCTTTTATTTGACCCATTGATTACTGTTATATGACTTACTATTTTTGAGTTATTCTCACTCTATTAGTCACGATTTCTCACAGTCACAGACACTTTTGGCTTGATCTTTTACGAATGTTATTTTTTATTTTATGGTGTGATTTGGCCTGATTTTGATTGTATACAAACCATGTATGTTTAAAATATATGATTCGTATCGCACAGGATAAGATTGGCGTTCTGGATTTAACGAGCAAAGCTAGGCGGAAAAAGGACCAATCAGAATTCTAGGCTACTCGTACTGGTGTATCAAACACCATATAACCGACAATCTTGTTACTCTCTCACTGATTACAAACCTATTAAGCACGAAGAAAATTCAAACATGATGAATCTTCACTCATTCTGTTGTACGTTATCTATACAACCTTCAGTTAACCCTAGTTCACTTTCTACTAAAAACTACATTTGAAATCTCAGCTGTATTTTCAATGATCATAAAACCTTTAGCCTATAACCATCTTTGCTCTTAATTATTTAACCTGCTAGCCCCAAATAATAATTTTTCTCTCAACTTTTTCAGACAATTATATCATTTGCATCTTCCTTCGAATTCGCACTCCGTGCAATAGACTCAACTTATCAATTAAATCAATCACAAGAATTAACTGAAAAACAGATCGAAGTAAAATCATTTTATATTCTGCGATGCTGTTATAACTTTAACCATTATATTAGGGACTTACAAGCATGTATAAGTATTCCAATAAACGAGATAATCATCATATAAAGAGATGGTAATTTATTGAAAATACTGCATACTCTGTCTTAGCATTTGTCCACCTTTTTTGCTTTATGGCATAAATACAACCAAGAACTGTTTAAAGTTTCCTTATACGCTTTCAATGAAGACCCACAGAAACGACAATATACATATGGTAAGCTAAATTTTCACTGAATGTTATTTTTGTATCTTATCTGTAACTGCGTTTACTGTTTAATATTTTAACCAAGTCAATTAAATTCCGATAAAAAATATGAATATTCATGTATTTATGGTGATTCAAGTCAAGTGTTACGTTGTTAAAAGTGTAAATAAAAGCTCTTAAAGTAAATGTATCATTAAGATGGAGTTTGTCTGAGTGTCTTTCTACTTTTCCTTTGTTACTTCTACTTTTTTGTTCGTTAATCATCAACTCTGTAGACTGAGAGGTTCTGTGGCAGTATCTGTAATTGAAAGGCATACCTATGTGAAGGCTCTATACTCGAACACTACAAGTCGAGTCAGAGCTTATGACGAACTGTCATCTGATGCCGAAACCTCAAGCGGTGTCCGGCAAAGCTGTCTATTATCTCCAATTTTGTTCAACTTGGGCATTGATCTCTACCAGGAGATCAATTCAGTCGACGGGAGCGTTATTTCCATCAGTATGTCTGTGATGAAGTTGAACAAAAATGGAGATAGTATACAGCCTTGCCGGACACCACTTGAGGTTGTGGAACCAGATGTTTTTTTACAAACATTCCTACATGTTTAATAACGTATACCAAGTATTTTCCTCAAATATTTTATCAAAAATGTGGTTTAGCCACTACTGAAAACGTGACTGACGCAGTCGAACTAAACAAAACAAACTTTGTGAGTACTTTTTATTGATGTCCAATTGATAACTTCGCATACTTAATTAGTTCTTTACAATTAAAAAAGTAACTTCTCTATCAAAACAGATTATTCGTGGTAGTGAACAAACTGTTGGAATATCCTGTGAACGAACATATTTCCTGCAAAAATCAACAAAATCAGGCAAGTAATGATTTGTATAAAAACTTTTAATAACCGGATAATTAATTATTGCAGATAATAAACAGAACACACTATTAAAGTAAGTCAACTAATGTATATTGTCCTGCTTAAAATAATTTTACATTGAAATATTAATATAAATATGAATCAGATTTGATCGAGAAAGTGAAAATGATTAGCTTCAAACATTCAGTTGAAATTCTTAGATCAGTTTTCTTCAGTACTGTCAATATCATTTTGACAATAGATATTAAAGGTATACCTGTCATATTCTATTCTTATTCTTCCACACTTTGGTTTCAAGGCTTTGTTTCATTTTTGTATCTTATGAAAAAATAAATTGGAATGCTGTCTTAGCCAAACAAGATAGTTTTCTTTTTAAAACTATCAATATCTTAACCAAGATATTTGGTTATTGAATAGCTAAAATATTTGATAAATATACATAAATGAGGCTAACTTTTTACTGTTCATAAAGTGGAATTTATGGAGTTCATTCTAGGCCAAGTTGTTTCAAGGTACATTTACTGCTATAAAAGAGAAACGTAAATAAATGGAAATAATAACTCTGCTTAATGATATGAGATTAGTCAATTAAAATCTGGGATTGTGTATAGAAATCACTAAATATTCTAGCATAAATATTTCCTCTTTAATAAGTACATCAAATTAGCAATGCATGTAAGAAAGAATCAAGAACTATCTTGAAAAGATTTCGTCTCATTAGTCATTTAACATTGTGTATAGTTTCACTGAAGCTATTCAGTATTGAAAGAAATATAGACCACTCTCAAATAATAAAGCTAACCGTTTGAACGTGCTTTTGTTTTTATTTTTTAAACAAATTAAGTAAGGAATTCAATTTATCATTGTTATGTAATCTTTTATTAGCATTTATATGTATTATGAATGTTATGGTTTCTTTCTTTATTCTAGAACGCTTATTCAAATTTACTTACACTTAATAAATGCAGTTGCCATGTTCATTAATCAAATTAAAACAACCTTAACAGATTTAGATGAGGTAATTTTATACTTATATTACCTGTCTTGATACTTATAATAAAATAGATTGCAACAAAAATAAGAGAAGGGATTGAAAAGAAAATAAATTTCGTGAAGTATGAAGAAATCGACATTGAGTGAGTTTCAGTTTACAAGTACATTTCTGAAAGTGAGTAGAATTTGTTGAAAATGTTAAACTATCATCAACTTCAGTAGCACTGAAATCTAAGACACACTAGATAACCGGTTTGTATTTAATTTGTAACTTCTTACCAAAAGTGAACCGTAACCTATCTAATATTTAAATCGCTGATTTAAGCTTAAAATGCTATTTTATGATCGGCATAGTTATAAAATCAGTATACTTTATTTCTCCTAAAAACCCCATTTATATTAAGATAAACAGGAAAAGCAACTAATAAACGATATTTGTTCTATGTTATAAGCACTTTTCTATCCATAAACCTATTACTTGTGTATTCAACTAAAGCAAAATGTTACTGAGATTGCAAATCGTCCTAATATGAACAACTACTGGAGACCTGGAAGCACCGGACTGCTATTTCCTCCTAGTATGGGACTCTTTAACGGTGCATACTCATGACTCCCCCCTGAGCAACTGAAACTAGGATCATCAGGTTTCGAGGTGGTAGCTCACCCTTTAGAAAACTTACTCGGCATATTGATAAAGTAAAATATACCAGAGAAGTATGTTTGTCCATAACCCCTTCTGTTAGCAGCAACCATATACTGAGGCAGCGTAGATATTAGTAGTGTAACCATAGAACAATGTTTCTGTGTTATAACTCTGAACAGTTATTTTCATCACTTTTGTATATGGGGCATTTTGCATTGGATATCAGTTTGAATGAAGAGTACTGGTGATAAACTCATGAAATCTGCTTGACTAAAATAATAATTGTTTACTACTTCCTTTTACTGTTTCAATCAACGTTAAGATTAACACCAATAATCACTGAGATGAGTTAAATTTGTCTTGGAATCTGTTCATTTTTTGTTCGTTTACCACGTAATTACTTGCTTACGCATATTACTCGTGGAAAAGCATAAACCGCCCACCATCACTCTCCGCAGAATTCTGTCCTGCCCAGTCCTTTCTAGTTGTTTTCAGTTGCTATTCATTCTTTTCACGTCTGCTCCACATTCCTGATGAAATGAGTTCTTTTCTTTCCCTCTTTTCCTTTTACCTTAAGGATTACAAGTTAAGGCTTGCCTCACGATACTGTCTGATGATTTCCGTAATGTGTGTCCTATCCATTTTCATCATCTTTTCTTAATTTCCTCTTCATCTGGAAATTGGATTGTTCTCTCCCACAGTAGCTTATTGCTGATGGCATACGTCCAACAGACATTGATTATCTTGCATAAGCAATTGTTTATAATTGCTTATACGTTTGCAATGATAGTTGTGGTAGTTCTCCAAATTTCAGCTCCGCACAATAGAACTGTTCTTTATGATGATGCTTCTTTCGGACCACAACCTCCTGACACGTTGAAGTTATTGCTTCTTTGATCCATTTCCAGTTACTTTCCATATTAGTTTCCCCTCTTTGGGTGTATCTTTTAAGACTTCTAAATTTTTACTGAGAGCTATCTTCAATCCGTTGAGCTTGTCAGTATGTCAAAGGGAGGCTGTATTGAACCTTTGTAATGTCGTTTCCGCAGCAATCCAGTGCTTCTTTAGGTTCAACTCCATCTTGGCAACCACCGGGTGGTGATCTGAGGCTATTCCAACTACTCTCCTCGTTCGCACGTTCTCTATTGATCTTCTGAATTCTTAGTGATGCAAATATGATCAATTTGGTCTTCTGTAATGTGGTCCGATGAGACCCATGCAGATTTTTTTATCCGTTTGTGCTGTCTATAACCTTTTTGTTGGAGGCTCAAAGATTAGTAAATCTGTCATCATTCTAGATCCTTTCTTCCAGTCCATGAAGTACCATGATATCTTCACGAGATTCCCATTATATAAGTTTATCACGTACTTGTTTGGACAGCATTAGAGCAACTCCTTGAGTATGTGAAGCATTTTCTTTTTCATGACCAGAGTAAAGCAGAATATATCCCTTATCTAGCCTTTGCTGTCCAGCTTGATTCCGAGAACCGCCAAGTTTTATCTCTTCATGTGCGTAACTATTTGACTGGTCCCCCGGCCTTCCACATTGTCTAGAAGTTCCGTGTTTCTACATTAATTGTTGTTCTGCTTGTTAGGAGAGTCATCGACCTCGCAAATTCTGAAGAATCTCTCTCTCATTCTTCTGAATGAAGATCATTCAATTCGGAGGACAGAGTTTAAATGGTTTGAATGGTTCATTCTGGTTAGCGTTGTTTTAGCAAGGTTGTTTTCTACGGAATCGAGTCGCTGAACCTATGCCCAACTCTTTTCCTGTGTATGTGCTTGGAACCGGCAGTAGCCCTAGAAGAGCTACAATCGGAGGTTTCATTTACCAGTTACTATAATATTTCATTGCTATGTTTGATTACAATATAGATTTGAATACGTTCATGGGAAACGCAGTGAAGCTGTACAGTTGATAACACTTTTGGTAAGAATATATGACATTCAAGATGAAGATGGTCAGACATTCGGTAGCATGGGACTCAAAGACACACTACTTATTTCATCACTCAAGTTAAATACCAGTGAGTAATGATGTGTTACAAAGTTAAATTAACTATCACACTATATACAATGTTAGCTGTCTTATTGAAAGGTTAGAAGTTGGCTAAGGGTTGCTAACTAAGACACTTAATCACTTCAGATGCGAAATTTCTAGTTGGCATCTACTTTTATTATCTCAATTTGCGGCTGTAGATGTCATGTGATTTGGTTCGAAATCCACCACAAACGAACAAATGTGTTCATTTCACTTTCCGCTAAATGTCGGGTTTCAATATTATTTTATGCTTCTTATTTATTGCTTTCATTTGTGCTATCCTAACTAGTTTCCTCATGTTTATTTATTAACTGTCATTGATGCTTATTGTAGCGGTAAATAATTCCCCAAAATCAAATAGCTCTGTAAGTTTTCGACATTGGATGCTGACCACAGTTTTAGTGGACTCATCCAGCTGAAGGCGCTCGGTCAAGCATCCGCACCAGATCACGTGTGGGAACGCCGTGCTCAACATCTGCCGCAATCGCTAGCCAGATTAGCGCAAACGATCCTCGATATATTGATAGCTTATCAAATATATCTTCGATCTCCTCACTTCTGTCTTTTGATTTTACTTGGTGGGTGCGCTTCGTATTAGAAGGTGTTACTGGTTAAAGCGTTGTCAAACTCCGAATACCTGTGGCATCTTCATTATATTATTTTGAGTCGTTTTATTTCCATCTAATCAATTTCTTCCTACTTGATGTAACCAATGTGTATCAAATCCACGTGAATATTTTTAGAATAATGAAACATTAATGAAGACTGACACACAGTTTGAATTTGTTTGGTGTATTCGAAATGGGTACTTATATAGAACCAATATTCTTTTTCCAAACAGCGCTATTTCTAAATCCAAAGGCAACTATTTATTTAAACGCTCTAACTAATTTAACTAATTCAGAGTTTAAAAAACTATTTATTTAGTGATCTCAGTTCTACAGGAGGTCGATCACTGCCCGGATAGCTCAGTGGTAATGTCTCTGACTGTGAGGCTTGGTGACACGGGATCGAGTCCGTCAGGGAGCACCAGTTCCCTCAAGATTACAGATACACCTTGCTGACGAGTGCCAAGTAGCACGAAACCCGGGTCCAGGGTTTCCTGTGGACTACCTCCAACCACCATCTAATCTCACAATAGTGTCCGCAGTGTCGAGTCACCTAGACTGGTGGCTACATTGCAACATGGTCGATAGCATTCGATCTGCACTAATAAGGACTAGACACGCATGACATTGATCATCATCCAGTGATCAATCAATTGTGATTTAGTGATCCCATTAAGCTGATAACTTATTTATTTAATCAATTAGGAACTCCTTATGTGCATGAGCTACCATTTTGGTTTCGGTTGAAGCAATATTTGAAGTTTGTAAATAATTATACAAATCAGGCAAATGAAACTTCATACAAATAATAAATGTTTATTCCGTTATTTTACAGTCCTTATTAGTCGAAATGTGATCAATCTCACTGAAAATATACCCTATATATGTTACTGGACAGTAAGTTAAAAAAATCTTATTCAAAAGGATTTTTGTGCTATAGTTTATCAGTTTGTTTTTTATAGGATGTAAAAATAATATACAATTCATAATGTTCTTGATGTTGTTAATGCTTTTGTTGGTCTTTAACTTATGCTTCAACATAAAACATTTAAAATATGTTTCAATTCTTATGACGTTGTATTCATGGTTCAATGTATTCCTTTAAGACTACTTAGTTTGGAATGTCTAAAGGTAACTGACAGCTAGCATTAGCGGCAACTCAGATATGAACTGACAGTAAATGTTCTTACTTGAATTGATAATTATTGTCAAGTTACGAGTTATTAACAAGAACCTTAAATGTCCACGATGACTAGGGTGTAATAAGTTATTCTTTGGTTAAATACAAAACTTTGCACTGTCGAAATCGTGAGTTTATTGGATTATTCTGCTTAAAATTAGTTTTTATTATGAACTGAAATTAAAAAGCATTAGATGACTGTTTCTTCTTTTTTAGGACCAAACAACAGTGCACATCCACTACTCTAAACGAGATCAAATTTTGAGCATTTAAGTCTTTCATTGAACAAGGTAAAATTAGTATACTAAGTTTCAGTTCGATGGTTTCACCGCAAAGTAAACTGATTAAATTTAGGTTTAGAAACCACGAGATTCTAACTTAATAGTTCAAGAATATTGTGAGATTATGGACTGTCAAGTAGTCCTCAAGTACGATAAAAAAACTTTTCGATGCTATTGGCTATTTTCACACTATATAGTCGACAGTCATACGTGTACAGTTTGACTCTACGAAAAAAGACAGATAACCCTTTGACACCATAACAATGTAGAGTTTAACACAGTTACATATGTAGACTTATATACTTATATACAAACATTATTTAATAGAATAAAGCTATACTACTGAAGAAAATTATGAATGTTTTTGTCGGTGACATCTATAAATTGATAATAAGTAAACCTAATTAGAATTTTACAACCACTTACATTCTGAATGAATTCTAATTGTTTATTCCATATTAATCATATCAAATGAAGAGATTGATTATACAATTAAATGGACGATATCGCTCTGTTATAAATGAAACTAATGAGTCTGGACATAATACCAAAGATATTGAATGATTAAATAGTTTCTAGTTTATAAAAAACTCTTTCTATAATGATTAAACGAAAACTGTTTGAATTATTCATTTCTAAATTTATTATCATTATCCTCATGTTAAATGGTTGTTTTCATTAAGATGGTTACAATATATGTAAATTAAAGAGGTTTTTGATTATTGATTTTAATACTTATTATTATAATGTAATGCATTAAATATATTCTATAGCCTATTGAAAAATTTCTCAAACTTATTGAAAAAGAAATTGATGGTGGAAAAAAGTGTTTATTAAATGGGGAGTTGGAAATTGTTACTGTTCCAGTTGGGAATACGTGCCTATCATTGAGTAAGTACCAATTAAATTAACTTATATGAAATTTTAAATAAACAGTAATGAAAAGTTTTTCCACACTCTGATATTTATTAGTATATTCAGGAAGTGTTTATTAATTTATTTAAACACATAAACATTGGTACAAAGGTGAGGTAAAATATATATATGCTCTACACAAAGTAATTATTATTCAATTTGTGTGTGTACTGTGATATTGCCCGGTTGTCCATACCAAAATAATTGGTCTTTTTGGAGGGCCACTTCCGGAGCCTTTGACTCAGAGGCTTAATTTACAAGGCATTGAAACGACGTTAAGATATGAGGTCCCATGGTAGCTGGTGACCAAGAACAGGTTCATACTCCATTTGTTCCTTCAGAATCCTGGAGTCCATGTGCACTATTGGTTTGAAATGAGGATTTTACAACTTCCCAAGGTTGTTCCTCCGTACTCAAAAACTATGGGCACACTGTCGGAGTGTTCCTTTGGTCGTATTATTTTGATCCACAGATGTAGGTTTAAAGGAGCACTTTTATGAGGGCTCATAATCAACTATAATTCCGAAAATTTAACTTCATGCAAAGAAATGATTGGATTATGAAGCAGTCTACTTATCAAATAAAGAAAAAAAATTTGAACGTAGCTTACAAAACTTACCTTTGTGGATGACGTATTATAGGCTAACAAATTTAAGAAAATATAAACAGCTTATCACACTTCAACATGAAATTTGGCTTCAAAATTAATGCAATAAACAACGATCTATTAATTAAGGAACTTCTAAAATCAGTGAATAGTTTTATATATCTGAGCAGATTATTTTATAAACAATATGATATAAACAATAGTCTCAAGGTCAAAAATATTAAGATCAGAAACATTTTCCTAGAAGCCTAGGACTTCTAAACCTTTAAACTACAGTAGATGGTGACTTCTATCACCAGGTACATGAAAATCACTATTTATTTATTTACTGCTATTGGTATTGATTTATTTAGTAAAAATAAATCAAAAATCATAATTCATGAAGTAATAGAAATGTATCGGACATATTAATTAAGATTTCGTGAAACTTCCCATTTCAAGAATAAGGTTTTACACTGTGGATAAGAATAAACGATAGAGTAATACATAGTACCCAGACGGTACATTAAAGCTAACTAAGAACTTATATGAGTCAAACCATTAAGAGAAATGAGTATCGTATATGTCTCAAGCGGGATCACAGGTATTAACTCATCTACTTTCAAAAAGATTGTAACTTTGATTTTGTATTCAGTTATCCTGGTATAATTAAAAAATGTGAGATATACTTTTCAAAGTATGTCTTTATGGTTCTTTAAGTTAATTATAGCCTATCTGATTATTCTTAAATTACATTTCACCATTTAGATCTTAAGATATTATCCATTCAACTATTTCATTTATTGATTATCAGTCAAAGCACTATTTTAATGCTATTAGTCTCTCGGTCAAATTGTTACTAGTTTTCAATATACTACTTGTCTGTTGTGTGATACTTTTTCATCATTACACAATCTCAGAAAGGTAATTTATTCATGGAAGTTTTCCTTTGACCATATCACAAATGAAGTGATAACAAAATAAACTTGAAAAACCAATAGTTTTTCTCATTAATTCTACTTAAAATATTTGCAGTCTTAGAAACTACACGTAAAATCTATTCTGTTAAAGTTAGACATTAACACCGTTAGATGCCAGCTCAGTGGTCTAGAGAGTAAACGATCACGCGAGATCAAAGATCCTGGGTTCGAGTCACGCGTTCGAGATCGTGAACACGCACTGCTGAGGAGTTTCATACTAGGTCGAAACGGCCATTCAGTGCTTCCAGGCTTTCGATGGCGGTCTAAAATTAATCGATTCATGATCTCAATCAAAAAAGGATTGAGTTGAATGCTTTCAGTCAGATAAATTCAATTATTACTAGGATGATTTTATTTTTCATATAATTATTTACCTCATAGCTTTATTCATTTTCAGTAAATTGTATTTGTTATCATAATCGTATCATACTTTATGGTAAACGATATGGAGTGTCTGTCTTAGAACCAAAGAAAATTAACCATTTTCGATCGGTGAGTAGTTTTTTTGTTTTGGTAAAACGTGTGTGTTACATACAACGATGTAAACATCTCTATTATGAACAATTTGATCCGCACTTATCATACATCAACAGGTTTCCTCCAAAAAGGAGAATAAAAACTCACCATTATGTTAGTTTTTAGCTAGTCACCATAATAATTATTTTGGATACAGGAATACAGTACTGTAATCCAATTTAAGTGACTGAACAATACAAATTTTGTAACGAAATGATGGTTGATCACAACAAATGAAACATATATTTTTGTTTTGATTAGGAACGAGGTAAATGGATGAACTAACACTGTATGCCTTCCTAAGAAGAGTATTTCAGTATTCATTTTCTTTTGTATGTTTTCACATAGACATTAGTATATGAATCTAAATTATATATAATCTTAATTTTCTGCTTTTAGTCAATATTGTGACTGTATTTATAGGATTCATATAGTACTGAACAAAGCCATTATTATTTCTTCTCTTAAAAGTATGTTATACTAATTCTTTCTAGCGTATTATAGACGGCGAGTCTATAATTTATGGACGAACCAATGAGATTTAGGATAACAAGTCTTGAATTTTGGAGCAAAATTCATTCATCCATTTGACTAAATAGCGTTTTGGCATTTTAGCTAATGTCAGTTCGTGGTGATAACCCTAAATCCAATTCCTAATTCTAACCATCAACTGTAAATCATAATTCTAATTCCTCACACTGGTTTATAACTCTCATTTGGTCCTAGTAAGTAGGTAGACTGATATGGCGGGATGAAAACACAACATTACTTTCATTTTTAATTGAAAATGATAACTACTCAATGAAGTATTTGTGCTTGTTTTCCAAGTGTCATATTTATTCGGTATAACATTAATTTGTTTGAGTGTGATGTTTTATTCAAGATACAATATTCTTGTATCGAACTAAAATGAACTATGCTCAGCATGACAATCAGCTTGTGATTTGTTGTAACTCTAGATGTAGTGAACAGAACACTAGTGGGGACAGTCGAATGTATTTGATACAAAATTACAAGACTTGTTAATAAAATCTAACAATCAAATAGTAAATGCATAATTTGCAAAATGTCCATCAATTGTTTCAGAATGACTCAGACTTCATCGTTCTTGCATTTTCATCAAAATTGCATTGATTCCATTCTTTACAATTCGATCCTCGTGTCTCTCTGTTGCCATACATTCTATTCACGACTAGCGTCATGTACTACTTATGTCGATATAAGTAGCGCACATCACATGGGTATCTATCATATACGTGATATTATTCTAATTATTAATTAAAATGGGTGTACGATCAGTAGATAAATGAGTGCATTTTCGAATAGGGTCGTAATGTTTTTGGTTTAATAAACCTTCACTCATAACAGTCTAGGCGTTTTTACTTCACGTCGTGGGAATTGTAGTGGTACCTCGTTTTACAAGTATAAGTAATAAGTGAACCCGACATAAGAACTAGGGACCACCAGACATAACAACTAGCTATCAGTCATAACATAGACATTCCCAAGGTCACTTTAGTGTTCCCCAGAGTTCATCCACAAATTATCGTCTCACCAATGATGGTTTTTAGAATACTGTTGTCTAAAGATTTCATTACGAAATAACCAATTATTTTTTATGATTTTATACCTATGGCAGCCAGATACATCCCAACCTGATCTTATTGAGCTTCAATTTAATCCAGATATTTTTAAAAATGCAAATGACTTTGTTTCACCATACCTATATTCCGCCTTATTGGAAGAAACGGATGAAACAGGTCTGCATACATCCATATGGCTTATTGTTAAACAACGCTCGAAAATTAGACGATTACTAATTGAAAATGTAAGTAATAATGAGAAACATATGTTTAATTTTGCAAATTACATTCACTGTCGATCATAAAAAAACATTAAGTGAAAACTTTATTCGATATGAAATGGCTTGGATAACTCCGTTGTTCATATTTTCGGCTTAAATTTGATCATTTTTGGTTGGTATATGAGCATCTTGTGCGGATCGCCTTAATATAGCCATTATAATATAGGTTAATACAGTATAGATGGAATGTGTTTAACAGTGGGATCTAGGATGCTCGTTTCGTCCTATTTGGGACTTGTTAGCTGGATGTACTTGCATCTTAGAGTTAATGTTCAATTCGGGACTCAAGTTCAGTACCGTTCGTATCGATTTTCATCGCGTTATTCACTTAGCTACCGAGTTCAAGTAACCACTCACTTGTCCAGCGGTTATGTGATTTAATTCAATTCGAAATGGTCTGAATTATCCCATAGTTGATCTTTTTGACAGATATTCGACCAAGTGAAAATGTCTTTTAAGTGATGAAATAAAACCAATCTCTGTTATTATGAAGTCAGCTTATTGTGTACACTTATTTGTAATTAGGTATCTTAAAAGAGCTGATCATTTAGTTATTAGTTTTCCTATTTATTAATTGCAAGAATATAGTACTAAAAGATGCGCTTTTTAAAAAAAATTTGTTTCTTAAATTACATTCATAATTCACTTTGGTTAATAAATAGGTCTATCTAGTTTACGTATGTGGATACATAAATACCCTTCAATTTTGTACTACAGATGATAAATCAAAGATCAGGATTTTTTAGCTATCATTACCAATGTTTGACTTGATAATTTCGAATACATTGAGCATTGGGTAGATTGTCATAAATAAAAGTAATATATTTGTATTATCCCAATGAGTAGAAAATTAGATTTTCTGACGTTTCGTGACCTACTGTAAGCTACTTCTCCAGAGAATAAGTAACCAAATTAAATTTAATCCAAGTTTAAACAGGACAACTGAACGACATGAATATTCAGAAAATGTTAATGTTTTATGGTTACTCTTTTTTATATTGATAATGATTTTTCCAACTATAACTAAATAATACAATTTTTAAAGCTTAAAATTATTTTGGAAAATTTGTATACAATTATCCTGAAGGTTAGTGATTTTCATACTACTTATTTTGAAAATGGTTCAGCGTAAATTATACTGTACTGAAAACCAGCTTAATGTTACATATACTGACTACTAATATACTTATCATCACTTTAGTAAATTACGCTTGCAATAACATTTAAATATAACTGAACTCTTTTTAATTAACTAATTAACACTTTTGTTTGTATAGGTTTTCCCAGTATGGCGTAGTACAGGCCTGTTGGAGGTGCCTTCAAACAAGCCTAACCATTGCGCTACCAAAGCGTCCTTTATTTCTTATCATTTAGAACAGGAATTTTCTAAAACATCACATGATAATACAGTATCTGGAAAAAAACTTGATGAAAAATCCGAACTTAAAGATGAAGATTGTAATTTGTTAATGGCTCAATTGCTAACATATCAGCCGTCCACTAAACACTGGATTCGGATATTTCGTGATGAATTATTGCATGTTGAAGCTAGTGTATGCTTTAATGTACCAATCCCGACTGCTAACGCATGTGCCAATTTATGCTTGAAATGTGGTATAAATCCGCAGTCCTATATAATTTTGGAACATGGACAAAAAATTGATTGGGATTACATAATAAACGAAGCAGCTATAGGGACAAATATTCAAGTTTACAATAAATACAAAGAAACACCATTTAATGTTAAAGATAAAGTACCAAATGATCATCCTGAAGTTTCCAAACGACAGTTTAAGGAAACTAATTTTAGTGACAATCGAAAGTTTGGTTGTATGATGTTAAATAATCCGCTTACTATCACAGTGATATGTGGGCCTCCAGGAAGTCGAAAAGTAAGTTATTCTTTTAATAGTTTTCCACAAGAATATCACTTTCAGCCAAAAAATATTTCCACACTGGGGCTTTTTAAAATAATTTAATTAAAAATCAGTTGACACACTAATTGTTTCAGCGTCGTGAATATTCAATCAAATGAAACAAGATACCTACTAAAATCCTTGAATATATCTAATTAAAGACGTTCACTAATTAATTGATGGAAATAACATCTTGTTGATAGGATAAAATATGTTTTCAGCTTTTGAAATCTTTATATAACATTTGATAATATCTTATATTGTAAGCAAATATTATGAACATACGGCAAAAAATATTCATATTTCAGAGGGTGGTTTAGCTTTAGTGAATACATGTAGATGTTTGAAATGGCATAAATATACATTCATTGATCAACAAACATGAATGGTGCTATAACTTGTGGCCTTGCGCCCCTCTCAATATATATAACGTAGTGATACTGCCAATTAGAGGACAGTGAATCATCGACCGGGCCAATGATGCATAGACCCGTTAGAACAGTCTAGAGTCCCTATCGGTCCTTCTTCCTGCATAGCTCTGTTCGTTGAGTCTAGAATACCAATCTCAGACTCTGCAATACAAATCATGTATTTCAAATATACTGGGTTTATATACAAACCAAACAGACCACATCGCACCACAAAATAGAAAACAACAATTGCGTAAGTTCTAGCCAAAAGTGACTGTGGATGTGGGAAACTGTAATTAATAGACTGGGCAGAACTGAAGAATGGTAAATCGTAAATGGACATTGTTAAATTAGTTCAACAAATTATGAATTCTGTTATGTACAAAAAAACAGTAACAGTATTTTTGATATACTGTCGTTGAATTTTCGACGCGAGCTACAATTACTAAATCAATCTTTAGCAACGAATTACGCAGATTTAGAGTTTTGCTCATTATAATATACTTAGTTCAAATAGATAATAAGTAGCTATCTGTAAATCTCTTATAATATTCATGTTATAATGGTCTTGTATTTTTAATGAACAAGAAATAATTCACTACATAAATGCCTTAAAAATATTCAAGTCTAATGTTCAAATCGTTTCCCGCTTTTTATATCTGATCAAATGAACTTTTCATTCAGTAATAGTCTTGCTTTACATTCAAAATATCTTTATGAAAAACTTTTGATGTCGATTGAAACTTCATGTTCGTGATATTGTTTATTTCAAGTTTGATGACATTTCTAAGCAAATATGACATTCATCAACTAAAATTAAAAGAACAAAATCTTTATCGTTGGTACATAGGATTTCATAGATCTATAGTTTAGCAATACGAAATAACTACAGTTAGAAAAATAAACTATTCAATCCCAGAGCACATAGTCCGACGTATAAAACGCTCGTCAAGAAGTCCGAATATTCTAATTTTGGTCCCTGGTGGAGTAGTCAGTTAGCTACAAAGTAGGACTAGTCACATATGTGCATCGGTCTAAGCTGCTACACGTCATTAGCACAACAAGATGAACACCAAATTCATAGAAGTAGTTACTTCAGTGGTAGGGTTATATGTAAATAAAGATTGTATATAACGACATGATACAGGTAGAAAGGATTGGTTCGTAGAAGGAAGAATATAGAATAATTTTAATCTGCGGTTTAAGAGAAAACAAAGAGTGTATGCACATACACCATTGTGATCGATTCTGAGCCATGTCACCCAAATTCTTCAACCATTGGTTATGATAGTCACGCGAACCCCAACCAAATAGTCTGCATCCGTGGGGTAGTGGATGTTCACCGCTGTGAAGATCCAAATACACTATCAATTGTCTCAAACTTCATTATTCTGTCATTGCTATAACAATTACTTGCTTTTTCCGTTCTCTTTCATTCGAACTTCCCAACCTTCTGCTGCCAGGCCTTCCACTTCTGATTAGTGTTATATACTACTTATGTTGACATAAGTCGCATACACCACAAAGTAGGTGTTAACCTAGACTGTAAAAAGATCTTAGCAAAAGTATACAGTTTAACTATGGTTAGAAACGTTTATATGTAAATTATAAGTCTGATACTATACAACCAGAATGATAATACTTTACTGAAAATAACTCGTTCGTTTTTTTGGTATGAATATAGAACACCTATTGTTTATATGCATTAGATACTGACAACCCAAACAACACTGATTAGATAAAAATCATGTTTTAATTCTCAATGTTAACTTTGAGATTTAGTCTTCTAAACATTACACCAGTAATTAACATGTTTGGGAGTTAAAAATGTTTGTTTTTGTATTGTTTTTCTTTCAATTAAAAGGAACTAGTTGTAGCAAATATTTTAAACTTTGTAAAAGAATATATTGAATGGATTGAAATAAAACCAGATAATTCCGATGAAATAACAACATCTTTGCATAATGCTTTGCTGAAATACTGTGAAATACAATGTAAAATAAATAACGGCAATGAATTAAAACCAAGGTGTCATGGTATTTTATTATGCCCGGATATAACTGGATCAAGAGAGATTTTGGCATCAATTGCTGAACTACATCAAAAACTTGAAGTAAACGAAAATACTACGTTGATTAAAATTGGTTAGTCTACATTATATCACAGCTTTTAGATGTAAATCCCTTTGAAACTAATGCTGAACATAACATATACTACTGGAACTTTATATTAGTTTATTAGTTTTAGGGTGCGATATATTCAGTATCGAATATATTCCGATTAACGCGAAGTATTTAGTTAATCGTTAGTTGCTGCTTAGAAGTATATAGCTCTCTTAATATTAAATAGAATATATCTATCAGACCTAACAACTAGAGGTTTTAAACCTTGGTCAGCAGAAACTAATATCGTTTGTATGAGTTTAACAAAATGAAACAATCCACAAATCTTTTTGCTTCATGATAACATTCACAATTGTACAATACCTTATTAATTACTCATTTTCTACAACTTGGTACCTTCAGCACTGTATTCGAGTATAATTCTGTGTTTATTTGTTCATTTTATGTAGCACACAGTATTGTTTTTTAGATGACAGTGACTTCACACTTTACACTCCTGAGGTTTGTTTTCGCTTATCATAATTTTTATCCTTCTCTGATTTCAAATGTAGACCTACTGTTTAAATATCACGCATGCGTTCTAAATGATTTGTTTTTCATTCATGGAGTGTTTATTTGAAGGACATGGATATGATAATTTATAACTTTTCTCACACTCTGCATTAAGTATTTTTTCCAGTTTGATATGGGTTTTCTTGCGCTTGTGTAGCAATAACTCATCTTCTCCCAGGAATACTTATTGCAGTAAGGTTTGACTCTGTAAATGCAACTTGGTACCTGTGTTCTGATATCCATTCTGATACTGCAAGGGTGCTGTAAATTAACTTGGTCTGATAGATTGTGTTAGTAAGATTTTCCGGTGTAAAAAGGTACGCTTGAACCTTGTGCTGATCCCATCTTTGTTAGGGATCCGATTCAGAGATTTTGACATATTTTTCTCATATAGTAAATAACATACGTAATCGTTTATCGTTATTACTTCAATAATACGGACAGTCTAGTCAATCTTTTATCCTGGCAGTTGACTAACTTACTCCAAATGTGAATATGACATGTTTGAAATATTGTATCATGCTTGGCTAAGTTTTTGTAACGACGTTTTGTAGTTTTTGTGTTCAGTATATAAATAAACATTGACGTAGTATCCGAGACTTCTGAATAGCTCAGTTTCGTCGAGCGTCTCGCATTGACCAGACGAGAATTATAGATGCGTTGATTCAATATGCCACAAGCTGACGATACACACTGTTTGTTTAGTTTTTTTCACAAAATGACCTATTCAAAGATGCTAACCCCTAACCTAAAATAATCGTCACACAAATGGAAATAATTATAATAATTTATATTAACATTTGGAAAAATATTTTAAATAGTTAACTCTCTGTTTAATATTCTAACTGCAAATCACTGACGTTGGAATTTCAAAAAATGCAACATCTGCAGTTAATCAGTTTTGGTAATTTAAACTGACATACTACTATTTTAATATGACAGAAAATAATTATCTAAATAGACTGAACTATTTTGGCTAAGTTCATGTTTGTTATCAAAAATCTTCACTTCTTGTTATTTCTTGAAAGGTTGTGTCGCGACATGTGTTGATTTACGAATGGCCATTATGGATAATGGAAGGTATTTATCATATACTTATGATTAACATGTTCACTTTGTTTGCGATCTATCCATTCAACTCATATAAATCTATAAATATATTTGATTAACAGTAATCTTGTATTTAACGGTTTATTTTTTTATTGAGAACATGAACCGATTGATGTTAGACCACCATTGAAAACCTGGAAGCACTGAATGGCCGTTTCGTCCTAGCATGTGACTCCTCAGCAGTGCATATCCACGGTCTCGCATTCGGGACTCGAACCCAGGATCTTTAGTCTCGTGCGATCGCTTAATCTCTAGACTACTGAGCCTGCATCCAACGATATTAATATTTAACTTCAATCGATCCGTGCTCTCACACGACCGTTCATCTATTGTCTGAGGTAGATAACTGTCTCACATCCCACACGGATTGGACTTCATTGGTCACTGATGGACTTGTGAATCAAACCGTGAAAATACTACGATCTCCACAAATCCCCATGCGTATTTTTGTTTGTCAATTTTGTGGTCTCATAAATAAATTCAATATATTTGAAGAATTATCCTTACTTGAAGACTTTTAGTTTACAGTACATATTAACGAATAAAAATAAAATAATATTGACTTCACTATTTTCTTACTACTCCTAAAATACAATCGATGATGGAAATTTATCGGGGTTTTAAGTTCGATTCCTCTGAATCTGATAAATGACTATTAGTTTGATGTGAAATCTTTTGTTTAATCCATTTCAACTTTGAATTCAGTAAGAGTTGAGAACTAAGGTATATGAAATGATTTCTTCACTCATCGATGATTTTTCTTGAAGTTTTGGATAAAAAATAATGAACATTCTAGTTTCTTTCATTCAAATAGTTATTTGAACAGCACTAATATTGATGATTCTCATTTGTCACAAATAGATAAAGAATATTTCACATTAAAGTCGGTCGCCATTTTTACTGGATAACTTATAATGATTTTAGTATGTGCAAATCAGACCATAGAAACATAAAGATGTATTAACCAGATTGTTATGACGATAAACTCTCAATATTATGAGATAAAAAACAATCATCTGTCTGTCAGATACGTTAATAAGTCTGAGCTGTTCTATAGTATTTGTTTACTTAGTAGAATATTTAGTTTGCAATTTTATAATAGTACCTATATAGTTACGTAACATTTTACTTACCATTAACTAAAACTTTTCTACTTAACTTAAGCCTTTCGCTTATCAACAATCTTTACTCTTGATGTTCTATTAACTTGATAATAGTATAATTACTTGCTTTAACTAAAGAGCGAAGTAGACTATGCTCTCGATGTTCTTACGTTAATGAAATGAGTTATCAATATTAAAACAAAATTAAAAAGTTTAAATTGGCTAAACAAAGTAAATATAATGTTCATTGTCTATGATCTGTAGATCGATTGTTTTATTGTTTAATCAATTGTCAAGGTGATCATATAAATGATTTTGTTGAACACATTTTATAAATCCATACTTATATTTTACAGAATGACGTTTCCAGGTGTCCTAGAACTGATTGCTGAAGGATGGACAAACTATCTACTGTTAACCGGACCTCCAAAATCTAACCAGGTATACAGCTATTAAACTAAAAATTTTAAATACTAAATGAGCTCTTCCACACCTTTTAATTTCTGTCTTGTCGCTGAGTAACAACTGATGACAAATCCATATCTCTAGATGAAAGGTGCTCTAAATCCCAATTATTACATGTTCTACTTATTCATGTGTGTCCATACATACATGTAAACTAATAAATACAGTGACATGTGGCTCAATTGTTCACATGATATTTATGTTTTAAGTGAAGTATAAATGTTACTTTTTTCAATAGTAATGAAACTGATTGCATAGTATATTTTACTGGCCATGCTTTTACAATACGACCATTTGATTCATCAGGCAATGGTAGACAGATGCAATTAGCCTTGTGCGACTCTAGAAGTATAATAGATCGCAACATACTTCATTATTTCTATCGGTTTATGAACTTTGATGGATATTCATTCTCCATAAGTGCTTCTTTCAGTGGCTTCGCCTCAGTTTCAATAGCATCTTCTGTCCAGATACAATCAATAAGCTTTTGATCAAACCTCATCTTTATTGAACTGAATAGTTACTATGAAAACTAAGACATTTTTGTCTGTGTAGATTTTCTATAGGTAGATTGTTTGATTAAACCATTTTCTTTTCGACTAACAGGCATTTTATTTTAGAGGAATAGACTCATATTTCCTCTCCTCTTTACGAGAAAGAGCAATATGATTTTGAAGTGTTAAATTTCCTTAATAACAAATTTGCACCTTCGATTTTGTTACATGTGACTATAATATCAATCGCGTGTCGTTTGTGAAAACATATTTTTAATTGAGTCTACTGCCGAAATCTTCAACTTATGAAATGAACAAATCACTTAGTATGAATCCTAAATAAAGAACTATAACAACACTAACCTGTTGGATTATCTTTGAGAATCATTTAACGAGTAAATAGTGAAAAGTTTTTCAAAGAAATATGGTAACATAAGATGCTTATGGTCTTTCTCAAAAGTACACATGTAATTAAAGTATCCATATCAGAAGAACACATCACTTTTCCATTGATGTTTGTTTTTAATTGATGTATTATTAAGCTACCATACCATCTGATCTATCTTTTCTATCAGGTGAATGCTACCAAAATGGGTGTACCATTCACTGAAATTGAAGAACTCTTACATTCAGCCAATCCACGTTTGAGTCATCTATTTATTCCAGATGGAAAAACTGAAAATAGTCATACACTTGAAGCATTAATGGATGAAAATGAATTTTCAAATCCAATATTGCAACGTGCACGTTTGTTATCTTACCCAAGGTAATAAATCTGTCACCTTATACAACACTAATAATAAACGTTTATAGTGAATAATTAAACCACTTCCAGAAAAAATAACATTATGAAAATTTGAAATTTTATTTAAAGAAGTAACTAAAATTTAACAAGTTTGAAGCTGAGTGAATATACATATATTGTTACCATTTATTCTAACAATCAAGTGAATTTAAACTTCACCCCATTGTAAAAGCAAGTGCCTATCAGGACTCAGTATCTAAATGAAAAACGCAATGGCGTTTAAAGCCAACGGTATTGAGTTCGAGCCACAGAATGAACATCAACTCTGAGGTGCAGGCACATCCAGCTGACGAGTCCCGTATAGGACGAAACGCGGGTCCTGGATTCCACTGCTAGTTGCTATTCATCTTTGCATACATGTAGAATTATGTTACATATAATGTTGAGTGAAAAGTTTTTGTAAACTGTTCTTAAATCCAACGTTTGCTAGATAGAGCTAATAATCATTTGTAGATGACTATCTGATCACCGATCTAAACACGTTGCTATCTCATAACGTAGGAAATAACAACGAAACTAATATGATTAGTTTCATATAGGTTTTAAGTGGATTGCCTTTAGTTTAAAACTGTCCCATAGATATATTCTTTTACCTGTTGAAATTTCACTATAGAATATAAACTTATTAATTTTATCACTAACCCGTCAGCAAAAGTATATTAAAATGGATAAATTTCTTTTTTTTTCATCGTTCTCTGCTTAATGCTACTTATAAATTAATAGTATTATATGACAACATTGAATACTGATTGTCAAATTATACCAATTAATAGACAAAAAAAATAAGAATCACTCTCAAATTATACTTTTTTAAAAGATTTTTTACATTTCAATGTTTCAACGTTCATGATAAATAATATTGAAATTTGCGTTACTAATGGATTTATAAACGATAAGCAGCTGTCTGACACTCAATTATCTCTTTAAAATTAGTTACTTTGTCTTGTTTATTAGTCTTAGAATTTTGTTACTTTTTCTAATTCGATTTTCGCTAGTAATGCTTTCGTCATTTTAGATTTCTTCTTTAGTGAAATCTTACAGGTAATCTAAGTCAAATTATTCTTCATAGTCTTCGTTGGGAACAAGTATCTATTAGATTACAGACTGTAGTAAATTCATTTATTTTCTTATTAGCTAACATTAAAAATACAGCTGATAAAAGTTCAAAGTTAAAAAGAACTAAAACTAAAAATCTACATTGTTTTGAAAAAAATTTTAATGTGGTAAAATCAATAATTGTATTCACTCTTCTTTTTTAAATTTCAGTCTTTGTACTCTCACTCCATCGTCCCCCAGATTGCGCAATATAACACTACATTTTAATCGACAACTTGATCGAAAGCTATTTATGAATGCTTTGAATGGTAAGTATTACACTTGAATAACAGCATCTTTATAGCTTCGAATGTTTGAAAGGGTGAAAATTGCGTCATTCCTTCAAAAACGTCTGGCTTCTACACTAACAACCGATGCAGTTTGTGTATAACTAAATCTGCGTTCCAACATTGTTAAGATTATTTACACTGACATGGTTCCTCCTATATGATTTATTAATTTCTTAACTAATGTGAACATTTTGTCACCTAAATTTCTCAACACGGAAAATTAAGGTTTCCATACTATAAAGAATATATATATATATATACATATATATATATATATATATATATATATATATATATATATTAACCGTAACTAATGCTATCTTTGTTTAATTGAAACGGCCCATACAGCCAGCATGAGTAAATTATTGACAGCAATCTATCGTGTGAATAGTTACGTGCCTGAATCTGTCGGAATAGAACTCCCCTAAATGTCTAAAGTAATCACTATTTGCCTTGAAATGAAATGTGATGAACCCCAACTTTTATCTTAGTCAACTTCAAGTCAATAGTTATCGTAATTATAAGGTGACCTAATTTAACAAATGTGCAGATAGGCTTTCCCTTTTGTATTTTTATAACTTAAATTTGTCATATTCAAAATATAATTTTACACATTTTGATACCTTGATATATCTAAATAAAGCTAAAAGTATAAAACTTGCAGAATAATATGAACCCAATAGATTTCAAGGCTTCATATGAGTTACAAATGGCCTACATTTGTATCAGTAACATCAGTGCGAAATTTTGTAGAGATTGCAGAATCTTTATAGACTTCATATCACGAACTGATCTTGGTTAGATCACCAAATCACAGGGTCGCTGTTTCGTCTTCGTTTATAACTTTCCACCTGTACGCATCAGCTAACTCGCATCGCGGACCCTACCGGAGTTTCTGGGCTCGATTCTCAGATGGAGGGGTCGTAAATGCTCACTGATGGTGGGTCGTACGCTTGAAATAATATTTTATAAAGTTTTATACACTGTAATCAATAACGTTTAGTTAAAAAGAACATTAGAAACCAGAAGCAAAATATTATTGTCATTACTTTTCACATATCTTCATATCATTGTTATCATTGCTATTAACATTAGGAATCTTGTAAACATAACGAATTTAGCCAACACTCACCCCACTTTAATGTTTCCTACTTAATTCATAACATTATGCATCACATAACCCTTGGTCCAATATTTTATCTGTTTTGTAATTGAGTTATTTCTCTTAGCCTATATTGTGCACATTTATTCCGATTAATCTCAGAATTCCAATTAACCTATAAACTGATTCAAGTTAACATTATCGATTGCCATTTATAATTTTATGCTATTTTACCAACAATGCCAAGTTCATGTGTTATAATTTTGAGAAATGTATTTCCCTCAAAGTTAACTTGCTCCCTGGGTGCATAACTGCAACATCTGTTGAGAATATTCATCATCCATGTATCTGTGTTTTAGTGTGTTGGCAATTTTGAAACTTAAGGATAAATTTTATTATCATTTTTAATACTTTAAACGAATTATTATCTAAATTGAATAGCCTGATAATCTTTTCCTTCTGTTTCACTAAAGGCATATTTAAAGACTTGAAGCCGTGGCCTTTTCATGGAAATATCTACACATTATGTGGGCAAATCGCTTTTTTAGACGGTAAGCTGATTGTAATCTCATAACCTAGCTATTTTTATTAGTAAGCTCTAAAACACTTGTCTATCAACACGATATATAGAGAAAACTTTCAGGAATTTGCGCTGAACGATTGAATATCATGTGAGATCTGGAGATCAAAATACGACATTCCACCTGAATATTATTGCACTATTATAAGAAACAAGGTTAAAACAGAAATTTACAAATCTCGATTCCCGTAGTGTTTAAGCCTCAATTACCCCGTAAGAAGTAATATCAAAATAAAATATGCTTTCCAAATAACTCAATTGAAACTAAATCACAACAAGTAACAGGATTAAGTGAATTAAGGCCTGTATATAAATTAATCTAGCTGTTCAAAAGAAAGGAGGCCAAGTATATCGAGAAAGACATCAAATTAGCAAGTAATATTAACCCAAATTTATTAGTGGTTCGTTGTAATAAGATATCACGCGTAGAGGTACACAAGTCTCGATAAATATCTCCAAGTAACAAAATCTTCTGGATAATAAATAGTTTAATATGATACATTAAAAAGGTTGATAGATTTGCAGCTACGTCTGTTCTCAATGACATATAAGATATACAATTAAATTAACATTTCATCCAATCAAAGGTTGTTATATCTTGTGATCCACCTATTAGAGAGCAGCGAATTATCGATCGAAACAGTGATGCATAAAACACGTGCAAGCAGCTTAGAGTCCTGCTTCCCTGTTTAGCCCAGCCAGTTGAGTCCAGAACACAAGTCTCAGCCTCTGCGATATGAATCATTATATTTCAAGCATACTCTGTCTATATACCAAACAAACATACTACATCGTACCATAAAATAGAAAGCAACATTTGTACAAGATTTGACCTCCAGGAAATGACACAAATAAATATTGACCAACGGGAAAATGACACGTTGGAAGAATATTGACCAATTGGGAAATGACACCATTTCTCATTCAGGAATAGCATTAGATAACTTCTGGGGTATTTTCTGAATACCCCAACAAAGGTATATTACAAAATTTATTTTTATTCCTCATTTAAAAGCCAATTTCAAGGTAGGATGATAATTTGTTCTTTTCTACATTTATTGACATAATTTTTTTCAAATAACATTCATATTAACATTGAGTTTAACAACTGTCTCATCTTTTATAGAAATGCTTTACCATTAACAATCGTATAACCGAAAAACAATGGTACCTTAATTAATATCGGTTCATAACAAATACTACTTACGAAATAAAATCACGTGACTCACTAACCTAGATTAGTCTAAAAGTTATAGTCCGTCTGATATTTGTGAAACCATCGACATAACTAAAGTTGAAAATTTAGTTTTAAATTTAAAAAAAAACTGGAAGATAGAAACAAGATATTTCAGCAAACAATATTATTTTCAGTAGTTGACATCATGAGTCAATTGAAGCTAGACCACCATGGAAAACCTGAAAGCACTGGACGGCCGTTTCGTCCTATTGTGGGACTACTCAGCAGTGTTCATCCACGACCCCGCTTCACGGGGTCCTGGAGTTCTAGTGAGAAGCAATGACCAGTACAGTTCAATCGGGTTAGTTATGAGATAGTAACCCACTGATGACAATGGTGGATGTGTCGCTCAATTTCGTGGATTATTTGAAGTTACACATTAACATCGTTGGATTCCGGCTCAGTGGTCTTGTGGTTAAGTGCTCGCGCGCTGCTGAGGAGTGCCACGATAAGATGAAACTGTCGCCCAGTGCTTCCAGGTTTTCCATGGTGGTCTAGCTTCAATTGACTCATGATCTCAACTATTAAAAGTAAAGAAGAGATACACAATGTGACAAAAATAAACAAATGTAAGATGAAAATAATTTTCAAAAAATCGTTTTTTTCAATCATTTTCTGCTCAGGGATGGGATAAAGTTAGTTTAAACAGCTTTTTAAAATAATAATCAGAGTTATAAGCAAAGATAAATGGTGGCTAGCTTATAATGCTAGTGACTTAATGCAATATTGAGGCGATCCGTACAGGATGCACATATGTCAATAAGAGACTGATCAATTTCAGTCCTAAACATCAGTTGAGAGGATTCAAATAAACAGTACATGATAAATAATCAGAGTTGTTGACCTAGATCCTTATGACTTTCTCTACACGTAAGAGATTCCTTATTTAATTTGATGAGAAAACCAGAATAGAAAAATAATAAGCTTTTACAAGATCTAATTTACAACACTCATGTAATCTATTTGGCTAATTCAATATTTTTAGATCCATCGAAACTCTATGAATTGGACTATGTAACCTTGTCGGGTATCAATTGTTTATATCAAGTAAATAAAAAGTCAAATAGAAACGACAAACTTTACTGGTTGACTTGTACAATAGCAGATTCATCAAACAATATGGAAAATTCAAATGAACTAAATAATTTATTTGCTAATTGGATTAGAGAAACACTAGCCAAACATGAGAAACCTAGAGAACTTATAAAAAGATCAGATTTAACTGAAGAAGACTTCAATAAAATCCATGTAAGTAATTATATAAATTATGATTGTATGTGTTTAGTACACATAATATTTTCTTTTATAATTATAATTGTGACTTTTAAGATAATGTTGATTGTTTTCAGAGTGATAGAATCGTAGAAATACCATTTCAAGAAGAAACGGAAGGGTGGATATATATTGCAAATAGAGATACATTAGGAACTCATTATAAAGATGTTACAAATAAGAAAAGCAACAAGGAGTAGATATTACTGACCAGCTTGTTTTATCCATTAGATTATTAGAACTGATAAATTGATTGGTAACACTTAATTGAATTGTTATTAAATGTAAATAGTTCTACCATAGCATTTAGTATATTTAAGAAGTCGTTTATCGTGAACACGAAAACTTTCAACTTTTTTCATAGAAATGAACGAAGGTAAAATATTTAAGCTTCACTAACTAATGGAACTATTAGAGAAACAATCTATAGATCAGTTTCAATTAAACCCGACTCCATGCATAAGCTATATGATCTATACTTCCTAGTAAACTGAAAACGCTTTTAATTTACCGAGTGTTATTTTACTTGGAACTCGTCAGGTGAATACGTCTTTTTCCCAATCAGCATTGGTGTGTAATGAAAAACTCATTCATATAAAAGGGGTTGATAAAATAACACTTTAGGCATACTGAATGGTTTAATAAGTCATATGATCTTTCAATATTTCTTTATTTAGTTCCCCTTGAAAATGACAAAACATTTTTTGCCGCTTTATAAACTCATTTTTCCTATCTTAAATCAAAAACGGTCTCCTAAAAATTATGACGGTTAATCTACTTTAACAAAGATATTCAAACTACATGTTATGTTTCTGGCCAATTTCTTCATTTAGAAGATATTGACTAGATCACCTCAGACATTCGTTTTCATCTTCTAATTGTTTTGTAAGAGACGTTTATTGTTGTCAATAAAGTTTAACTGGTTGATCACGTCTAAGCTTTAGGTATTTCAGTTCAGAGTATTCAAAAAACAGTGAAATTCGTTAACTTATACTACTGTAATCCTTAAGTGACTACAATTCATCATGAATCATGCTCGTTATGAAATGCACATATATCCCATATTAATCTTTCTATAAATCCTTACTACTTTACACGTCAATACAACCGTAAGCCAATAGTCGAAGTACTAGATGTTAGCAGGAATGATATATTTCGAAATGCTTATCTGCAGACAAATTGTGAATGTCAGTCGAACAAACATCCATTTGAGACGCAGTAACAGCCTACTCAAAATGTAAGTCGTTTAGTAAACTTTTAGTGTCGTTTACGATTTTAAGCCCATATAACTTATTCTGGCTTCTGGACAGGCCAATTTATCCCTTCTTCTTGAGTCACATTTTGACTTTGTTAATCATTCACTTATCGACCTTGACTTTTTATATGAGCGTATGTGTGTATACACCTTAACCTGCTCATCACATATCTGTGGCTTATTTTTGTGTGACTATAAATATTGATTAAGTCTTGACTAAAAGGAGTTGGCTCACACGCCTTCTCCACTGCGCGTCCTTTTGTTTTGCTTCGCTCTCTCTTCTCAGCTTCATTCACTGTGATTCTCTGATTGTCTGTTCCGATCAACGAGTGTACAAAATATACGTATTCAAGCATCCATTCTCGTATTGGACTTATTTAATTCCGTTGTAAACTAACGCGATTTAAGTCGGTGAAATATAAGAGCATAGCCGACATATGTTTATTTCAATAGCCATCGATCATGCGATCTAACTTGAGTCACATCCAGGGGCATCAAACAGGTGAGCGCGTAGACAATATCGTACGATCTAATTAGGGTCAGATATTGGGCCACTAAAAACTTATGTATAATTCGTATATATAGTGAATACAGTAAACAATACAGTCATGTATAAAGTAAACATAATAAAATACATAAATTCAGCTAACATGGACACAAGTAGTAAAAGTACACGTATATAAGATCACAGTTACTTATAAAAAATGGATCTTTAAAGTTAAAACCGATAAATTTATCACAAGCTATCAGGTTTAATAGTATTTGTCCAACAGCAAGAGTAATTTTTTATAGGACTGTGATAACAGTTGCTACACTTATGCGTTGTTATTTCTGAATGCACAATAAACTTTTGCAAAACTCATTGTTTTTTAACGTTCACATCAATGTTTTAGTGCCTTTTAAGGACATTTATTCTATATTTATCTTTAAGGAAAGGTATCATTTATATCCTCTTCCACAAGGTTGGTACTATACTGGAACATATTATGTTAACATGAATGGAGAGAAATTGTTTCAACATCCAAGTAAGTAAATTAGATCGCTGAGATTTGTTTGATAATGAAAATTTCGTTTGTAGGCGACTTTACAGTAATACTTGTTTCACGAAATTTTTATATCATTAACTTTGTTATGCTTACAGCGGTATCAATAAACATAGGAACTAGCTGCTGTAGAAAAAGGGTGGCTAGCAGTGAAGCCCAGTATATGAGTTTCATATTATTTGGGACTCGTCAGCTGGATGTGCCTGAATCCCAGAGTTCCATTGCTAGCCACCATCCATCTTTGCTCATAATACTTGTGACTTAAGGCAATATCGAGGCAATCCGTACAGGATCTATGTATGCCCATAAGAGACTGATTAATTTCAGTCTTAAACATCAATGGGTAAGATTCAAATGAACAATACAAAATGAATAATAGGTTTGGATTTAGTTACGATGTGCAGCGTTGAGGTTATTAAATGTCTCATCGGACAAAATCTGATTAAGATTATTATCTGACCAAATTTTACCTTTAAGGATCCATCAGTAGGAAGTAGAATCAGATAAAGTTGCGTGGTGATTGATCGATTTACAACTAGTGTTCGTCAATATTAAGAACCGTTCAAGACAACTTAGTGGTGGACAGTCGTTGCTTTTCAGCTTGAAGCTCCTTAGCCGTGTATATCAATAGTCTCACGTGTGATCGAAAAGTGAATTACTATCTCCTCTTGTCGGAGAACTTTCCATATATCACCGAATAATAGTCCTAGAGAGCATTTTTACCTTTATTCGACTCGTGTTATATCACTACAGTCACTCAGAACCGTTGGTTTCACTCACCGCATTGACTGTGCCCGCACACAACGTCTTCTCATTAGAACTTCACAAATTTATCTTTAAAATTGTCACTAACTAACACAATTATTATTGAAATAAGAGTTAATGGTTCTCCAGTTAATGTCAGTTCTTAATATCCTTGATGTTATAAGTCTTATCTTAACTCTTCTTCTATAGTTATGTACCGATGTGTAAGTATAGTTCACGTTCCTATTGCAATTAGTTTCTTTAGGGTGAAACAGTTCAGAAATTGATTGCTATTACTGGTGGCTAAACTCAATGCTATCGTCACTCTATTCTACCCTTAAAAAAATCATAATGAGTGCTAACAGAGAGGGAAGATTATCATTACTATGCTAATAATTATAGACGATAATGTTAAGAAACAAGCATGGTGAATTAATCGGTGATGAGTTTAAAGATTATATAGAATTAGCCTAAATCTTCCAATGAGTCTTCATTTCTAACTCCCCGAAACAGCCAATGCTTTAACTTTCTGTAAAATACCTGTCAATTTTTAACAGAAGAAAAGAGTCAACTTCCTTGACTTTGTTCGACCTAATTTCGCGATTCACACTCTGTTCCTTAATTTTTTCAGATTCCTTCAGTCCCTTAGTTTGTAAGTATGGAAAATATAAATAGCTTACAGTCGTATCTCAGATGTCTTTCAAAACCTGTATGGGCTGCGTTGTCTGTAGGTTTTAGTGACAGGAACGAAGTGTTTGTTAGCTGCTACCTCGGAGATATAATATCGAAGACCCTTGTTTTGACTAGTATTTACCCCATACTACACAATTTAACCTTTTATCTGTCAATCTAAATGAGCAATGCATGAGATTAACGGAGCAAGTGTTGTTATTGGCTTAGACTGTACTGATGTTGCCATTTCTCGCTGGAATATGCTCATAAACCGCACTCAATGTCGATACTGCTTCTATAACAACTTCCGCATCTAAACGACATTACTGAGAGAAGTATTCGCATTCGAACTGGTCACACATTCTGAAGGCTTTGAGGATAAAAATTTGTTTATTTGTGGTAAGTGTGCTATACTCATAACTACTAAGCTACATTTAAGTTGCAGATAAGATTTTGTTATTAAAAGCATTACACTGTTTGCATATAAATCCATCTTATTCTTTCATCAAAAATGTCATACGTTTTTGCATATCCATGCCAAGTTTTCAATGTATAGCTGATTTATAGGTCACTGTGAACTGTATTAAGATCGAGTTTCTTCCGGAAGGAATTAGATACTGTCTATTAAATACATAACCCTAATATAATGCAACACTGTACCACCAATTTACTATGATCACAAAGGATACTTAATAGTTTTCTATTGTCGCACACCGTAGATGTCATTACCATGTGTCGAATATTTGGCATCGTACGCTTAAGATTGTTGCTTTCACTTTCATGGTAGTTTGAGCATAATCATGCATATTATTTTGCATGTACTCACCAACGTATGTTTATGAAACTATATACATCTCTTGATTTTCTTGTTACTAAATTTTCTGTCTATTGAATAGACCAAATCGTCAAAATTATGCCATTAGCGGGTGGCATCGGATACTGTAATTTATTTGTATTTGTTCATCATTTTCACAATGTGCTCTTAAAATAATCATGATTTCCGTTGTCCCTATTCTATTTATTGTTTTTAACTGTTTGTAGGTATTAACCAATTTATCGAAGAATATATTGAGGGAGAAAACAACAAGATTGAAGCGAGGAATGCTCGAATACGTTGCCATCCTGTGCCTGACTTGTTCAGTTAGTTGTTCGTCCTGTTAATAGGATAGGTGTGCTATTACATATAAATATATATAATTACCTTGAAACTTTATCTCTTTGTTCAACGATCAATAAGTAATCAAATTTCGTCGAACTAATTCTAATGCAAAATCTCAAAGATCTTTGATTTTACACTTTTTGAAAAAATGGAAGACCTGCAGTTGTTAAGTCATCATGCTTTCCAATGACCTTACGGTATGCCTTATTAGAAAAGTTCATATACATTAGAAGGACACTGACTACTTAGTGTTTTCTTCAATGCTAATTGTAAATAATAAGCTCTACTTGAAAATGAATTTTTCCATAGATCCTTCCATTCTGCGGAAACCTGAACACCTGATACAGACAGAAAATCACTCAAGTAGAGTCATCAAGATGGACGCTACCTGATTAGATATAACACGACGTATAATGAGATTAAGGTGGTCAAACTGTAGAAACCGTACTACTAAAAACGTCTCACACCGATTTTCAGTACTTTATTGATCGACCTTGTTATCCGAATGGACCAGTTGCCAGTCCCTTCGCGGAACCATCCTGGGTGGGGGAAAGTGACACGTTAGCTCTAAAAAGGCTGTTCTATTCGAGCTATGAGCTTTCTGTGGGAGAGTGCGCATCAACCAACAATTTTACGGATAAAATACATTCAGTGGCAGTCCATATATTTATACCCCGCATAATCATTTTCGGCGAAATCTTGTCAAAAACTTGTAACAGTCAGAGATAGGCAGCTTAGAGTTAATGATAACGTGCTTGCCAGGTGAGAATATTTAAGCATTCAACCTACAGTAAAATATTATTGTAAACGATGCCCATTTCTACTGGTTTTTGATAGGTTTGTTTTACTCTAGCTTTGAACCTGAATTGCTTAGAATTTTGGTTGTGAGCGTTTGCTTCCTATCTTGCATTTGGATTATCATTTTGCTCTATGACTCCGTAAACCTAAATATTGAAGGTTTGTTATGAAATTTATTATCATACAGAATAGTACTGCTATATCCGTTATCATTAACTTGATGACCGAGGATGAATGAATTGTGTGGGAATTGGAATAAGAATGTCCCCGGGTATATATTCAAATTTTCAAATTAACTTGCATGTAAAATATGGTGTGAGCTACTTATGTTGACAGGTGAAAGTAGTATGTAATATCAAACAGAGGTGGAATGTCTGGCAGTGGGGGATGAGAAAACCGAACTGAAGAGAACATTAAGAAAAATAAAGAAAGATTGGAATAAAACAGAGTAGGAAGAATCATGAATTATGTTGAGGATGTGCAAGTGATGTATTTAATGCACTGCCTTCGTATTTTAACCCTGCATATAACTCTTCCGGGGTAACTGCCGGTCCCAACCCACACAAAGACGAATCGGGCATAGGGTCAGGTAGATAACAAAAACGTTAAAAGTGACCCCTTGTACATCTTCCAATTTCCAAACTTCAAATGAAACACGTAACCAATGCCGTGTCACCCAGCCTCACAGTCAGAGACATTACCACTGAGCTATCCGGGCAGTGATCGACCTCCTGTAGAACTGAGATCACTAAATAAATAGTTTTTTAAACTCTGAATTAGTTAAATTAGTTAGAGCGTTTAAATAAATAGTTGCCTTTGGATTTAGAAATAGCGCTGTTTGGAAAAAGAATATTGGTTCTATATAAGTACCCATTTCGAATACACCAAACAAATTCAAACTGTGTGTCAGTCTTCATTAATATTTCATTATTCTAAAAATATTCACGTGGATTTGATACACATTGGTTACATCAAGTAGGAAGAAATTGATTAGATGGAAATAAAACGACTCAAAATAATATAATGAAGATGCCACAGGTATTCGGAGTTTGACAACGCTTTAACCAGTAACACCTTCTAATACGAAGCGCACCCACCAAGTAAAATCAAAAGACAGAAGTGAGGAGATCGAAGATATATTTGATAAGCTATCAATATATCGAGGATCGTTTGCGCTAATCTGGCTAGCGATTGCGGCAGATGTTGAGCACGGCGTTCCCACACGTGATCTGGTGCGGATGCTTGACCGAGCGCCTTCAGCTGGATGAGTCCACTAAAACTGTGGTCAGCATCCAATGTCGAAAACTTACAGAGCTATTTGATTTTGGGGAATTATTTACCGCTACAATAAGCATCAATGACAGTTAATAAATAAACATGAGGAAACTAGTTAGGATAGCACAAATGAAAGCAATAAATAAGAAGCATAAAATAATATTGAAACCCGACATTTAGCGGAAAGAGAAATGAACACATTTGTTCGTTTGTGGTGGATTTCGAACCAAATCACATGACATCTACAGCCGCAAATTGCGATAATAAAAGTAGATGCCAACTAGAAATTTCGCATCTGAAGTGATTAAGTGTCTTAGTTAGCAACCCTTAGCCAACTTCTAACCTTTCAATATGACAGCTAACATTGTATGTAGTGTGATAGTTAATTTAACTTTGTAACACATCATTACTCACTGGTATTTAACTTGAGTGATGAAATAAGTAGTGTGTCTTTGAGTCCCATGCTACCGAATGTCTGACCATCTTCATCTTGAATGTCATATATTCTTACCAAAAGTGTTATCAACTGTACAGCTTCACTGCGTTTCCCATGAACGTATCCAAATCTATATTGTAACCAAACATAGCAATGAAATATTATAGTAACTGGTAAATGAAACCTCCGATTGTAGCTCTTCTAGGGCTACTGCCGGTTCCAAGCACATACACAGGAAAAGAGTTGGGCATAGGTTCAGCGACTCGATTCCGTAGAAAACAACCTTGCTAAAACAACGCTAACCAGAATGAACCATTCAAACCATTTAAACTCTGTCCTCCGAATTGAATGATCTTCATTCAGAAGAATGAGAGAGAGATTCTTCAGAATTTGCGAGTTCGATGACTCTCCTAACAAGCAGAACAACAATTAATGTAGAAACACGGAACTTCTAGACAATGTGGAAGGCCGGGGGACCAGTCAAATAGTTACGCACATGAAGAGATACAACTTGGCGGTTCTCGGAATCAAGCTGGACAGCAAAGGCTAGATAAGGGATATATTCTGCTTTACTCTGGTCATGAAAAAGAAAATGCTTCACATACTCAAGGAGTTGCTCTAATGCTGTCCAAACAAGTATGTGATAAACTTATATAATGGGAATCTCGTGAAGATATCATGGTACTTCATGGACTGGACGAAAGGATCTAGAATGATGACAGATTTACTAATCTTTGAGCCTCCAACAAAATGGTTATAGACAGCACAAACGGATAAAAAAATCTGCATGGGTCTCATCGGACCACATTACACAGGACCAAAATGATCATATTTGCATCACTAAGAACTCAGAAGATCAATAGAGAACGTGCAAACGAGGAGAGTAGTTGGAATAGCCTCAGATCACCACCCGGTGGTTGCCAAGATGGAGTTTTTGGTGAGCCTAGAGTGTATTATAGTTTTATTGTTTATATTTCTACTTGAAACACTAGTTTTTTTTCATATCATGAACTCTCCAAATAAACTTATCGATATGGAATGTCCCCCAGTGAAACCCCTTGACTCATTACATACAGACAATAATATTTTAAGTTCAGTGAATGCCATTACTGAGTTAAGATTACCGACATACGGCGTCAACAACCCTAGAATCTAGTTCGCGCAGGTAGAGGCCTTATTTTTAGCCAGGGGCGACTAAATATGCCCATGTTGTCGGCGCTCTACCCATAAAAGTCGCTACGGAAGTCGGTGATCTGATTGACCATGTACCAGAAACAGATCCTTATGACAAACTCAAAGCAGCAGTAATTCAGCGCACGCGCGTCTCAGACGAAAAATGATTACAACTATTACTAACTTCCTGTGACTTGGGAGACAAGAGACCCTCCCAACTTCTTCGTCACATGAAACAACTTGCTGGTCCATACAACCTGGACGAAACTCTCCTAAAACAAATGTGGTTGCAAAGATTACCACATAATGTGAGACAAATCCTTAGCGTCTCAGGGCCAACCGTCGCTCTCGAGGATTTAGCCGACATGGCGGACAAGATGATGGAGATCTACCCCGACAGGCATTGTCTAAACGCGATACAAACTTCTGGTAATGGCGATACGAACACAACACTCAACATTCAGCAACAATTAACACAGTTAACAACTCAGTTAGCGTCATTACAGGCTACTATTGCGAGTATCCATTCTCGACCTAATAGATCCATTTCTAGAAAAAGAGCAGGGTCAAGACATCGTTCAAGGTCTCCCAGGAAGACAGTCGGTATTTGTTGGTATCACCAAAAATATGGCACCAAAGCACGGCGTTGCACAAGACCGTGCACATTTTCCGCAGCTGACTCAGAGAATCAGGGAAACGAACTGGCCAGACAGTAATGCCGGCGCCTGCTACTGGCCAACACACTAGCCGCCTCTTCTACATCAGGGATCATATTTCTGGCTCAGACATTTTAGTCGATACTGGAGCAGAAATCAGCATAATCCCATTAGAGCTTTCACGACGGCGACAAACTACACACAGCAAAGTGTCACTACAGGCGGCCAATCAAACACTTATCAAAACCTACGGAGAACAATCTCTCATTCTAGATCTCGGTCTTCGGCGAAGATTCACTTGGGTCTTTATAGTCGCTCAAATCAAACGACCTATTCTCGGAGCTGACTTTTTAAGTGCTTACAAATTATTAGTAGATATGAATAACAATAGGTTGATTGGCCAATGCACACGTTTACAAGTAAATGGTACGCTTGCTACTGACTATGAGATTTACGGTGTGCATATAGTAAAACCGGAAAACAAACTTTTCACCAACATTCTGAAGGAATACGAATGTATCACAAAAGTAAATTATCAAACGGAACCCACAGCACACCACGTACAGCATCATATCATCACTACGGGACCACCCATTGGTGCTAAAGCAAGGAGACTTCCACCACACAAGTTACAGATTGCTAAAAGAA